ATTCCATAATCAATAGCGAGATCTCGGGTAGACTTTCCACCATTTTGATTATCCTTGATTAATGATATTTTATCTTCAAGAGTTAGCGTTTTTTTACTCAGACATGATACTGTTTATGATAAGAAAATACAACAAATGTGACAATATCATTGTCATTCGTCCCGTCTATTTTCCTTCGTAATTGATGAAGCGGACGTTTCTTAATTAATAAACACTATATACATGCTGACGTTTGATCGTTATTCTCAAACATATTTTGTCGGCTAAGAAAGTGTCCACTATAGAGAGGTAATTCATACAATTGGGACTGAAAAATAGTGTCCACTATAAGGGAGTGTCCATTGTACGGAGGTGTCCACTATATAGAGGTACGATACCAGCAAAAATGGGTCCGTCGCACTGAAAAGTATCCACTATACGGGAGTGTCCACTATGAGAGGTTTCACTGTATGACTTTCATTGTCCATTCTTGTCACGTACTCTTATTATAATTAGATTTTTCAGATGAAAATTGAATTGCTTTTCGGTGTTTGAACTCGAGATGAACAATTCTGAAATGTTCATTTGAAACATTCAGGTCGAACATCGGCACTTTTAATCGCCGGATACCATTTAAGAAAATATCAAAAGTGTTATCAAGTTTGTAGCATCATTGTCGTAATTGATTAAGGTGGAAATTTGAGGTAATTGATCGTTGTTATGAGCAATATTAGCTGATAACTGATGATCATTACAATAGAGCCGATGATCATAGGAGTATCGATTTGAAGTAGGTGGACGATCTTTTTTCGAGATAAGCTTTGAGTTTGCGACATGGATGTTGATAGATTTCAAATTGTCTAGAATTCAGTTGGAATTGTTGAGCTTCTTTCGTGTCAACTTTCTCGATAGCTTCTTGCCAGTCGGAATTCGGAGTTAAACTATTGACTTTTTGTTTGATTCTTTCAATTGTATTTTGTATCCATGGATTTATATTGCTTGAGTCAACAGATAGAAGCAAAACATCAATTTTGTTCAATCGTCGTACAATCTTTCGTAGACAATGCACAAGAACATCCGTAGATCTCGAAGAATTCCTTCGATCTTTTCTCGTATGAATGTAATTGGTTAAAAAATCAGTGATAATCAACTTGTAAACGATATGACCTAACGTTCCCATACGTTTTGTTAGAATATTTTCAAAAACAACTTTCACAGCCATCCATAAACCTGATCTTCGAAAAGGATATGCTGAATTCTTATATCGGATTTGGTCACGATGCTTTTTCTTGAATGAAACGGAGGCGTTTGTGTCATTATCGATTTGAACACCTTGAAAATGTGTAGTCCACCATTGACATACATAATGTGATATAGGTACTTCTCGAGTTTCATCAAATGTGTAAGATGCTTTATGGGATTTTGTATATTCAATTGTATTATTCATAAATTCTGAAAGTAATTCGCAGTGGACAGTAGATGAAAGTTGACAGCGGTCAGGTAAGCGAAATGTAGGAACAGGAAAACAAGAAACATGTGGTTCGAGTGATGATGTAATCACGTTTGTTGGCAATAAGACTTGCCAAGATGAGATCAATGGTTGATCAGGAGAATTTTCATCGATTTCAATTAAAATTGCAGCATTTTGGGCATAGAAGTAAAGTGGGAGAAAGTCTCCTGGTGATAGATTCTGTATGATCGATTGTAAAACTGAAATCGAACACTTTTTCGTGTTTTGTATGGTTGACCAACGCTCCGTACAAGTTTTAAGAGTTGAAAATATTGGTAATTGATTATTTTCATCTAACGATTTCCAATAATCATTCATACACTGAAGTAGTTTGTATTCATTCTGATGATCAGATTGAATTAAATGATCGCTACTTGCTGAAGATGATAATCCATGCGGAAGAAATAGATGATTCAAAATCGATTCATCTACTTCTTGTGAATTCATTGTATCACAGTTGTTGTACACGTAGTTTTAAAAACGTACTTGATTAAGCTGCTTCGATATCAGTAAAATTTGCTTAGAATATAAAAGAGGCTTTGCACTGGGAAAAAACCCAAACTTCTCAAGATATGTAAATTCGACGTCACCAAATCAAAAGTTCTGTGATAGATGCCGTGAAATTCCATCAGCTACCTGAGGTGAGAAATATGGCGCAAAATAAAAACTTATCGGAAAATATGATAAGTTTAGCTTTGTAAGCTGATTGACAATAGATTTTTATTTAATTATGCAAATAAAGCGTATCGATTGAATAATAGAAAATGCGCGAAAGCAAATCATGTTTATCATTAAGTGTGAGTCGTTCAGAAAAACTGCCCCATCTGTTTCTGAACCTCCTGAACGACTCCATTCATCAATTGTAACCCTTGTTGCCAATAAACTGCATATGCTGCGTCATCTATTGGTGGTAAAAACGCCATGCCCTCTCATAAAATAATATAGATGCTGCTTGCACCAAGCTATGGCAACAAAATGAAAGAGATTCTCGTATAATAACCTCATTTACAAGGGTGGGTGAGAGTGAAAAAGATGACACCCGCATGAACCATCACGTAATGCTTCGATTGTATGACCAGGGCGGATGTATTTGCTTCTCACCCTTAACACATATGACGAACTTTTTGTAAAGGTCAAAAAATATGCTCGCCAATAATCGTTATAGGCAACTATGAACAATATCGGACATCTCACAGTCAGATACTGAATATATATATATATATATAAATCAGTTTTCTTATTCAATAAGAAATACTCATGTCTGGCCAAATATCGTCGAATATTATTCGTATTGATCTATGCAATATTAGTAAAGAGAGTTCTTCTGAGATTCACATGAATGAGGAAGATTCTCGCAATTTATTTGATAATATTAATAAAACGATCGAAACTGTCGAGCTTGCTTCATCACTCTCATCACAATTTACTAACAGACTCGACAATTGGCGCCAAAATTCATTAGAAAACATCGATCAATGCTACAAAGGAAAGAAGCAAGAATTTGAGTTTCATCTTCGTCAACAACAAAAGCAGCAATTGAATCAGTTAACTTTCTTACGCAATCGAATTGTTTTTGGAATTAAAGAGAAAACCATCGATGAACATATGTTTGATCGACTCAATCATTTAATTGCATCTCTTGAAAACCAAGTGAATCAATTTCAATCTTATCGATTAAATATTTCTCTTGCAGTCGTCCTTAATGATTTTGCTCTTCTTCGAGATCATATCTCCAACTTCAATGAGATTTTACCCTTATCCTCTTCGCGAACAACAGTCAAGTTGCCAACGAAGTGTTTGTCGATGTCAATGAAGGAGAATCTTCTCTTGATAAACACTGATTTCAATCTAAGTGTATTAGATGAAAAATTCAAATTTATCCAATCGATACAGTGGAATAATGAACCTATTTTAAATATGTTTTGCTCACAAACACTGAATCGGTTTATTCTGATCACTTCGAATAGAATCTTCAGTGTTGACGAACAATTAATGAACATCGAACGATTACCAATCAATGGAAAGAATTGGTTAACTGGAACATGTACAAATGAGTATTTGTTTCTCGTAACATCGGAAATCAATTCAAGAATTTTCAAATATTCTTTGTCCGATTCTTTTCGAGCCAATCAAGAATATCCATTATTTTCAATTAATTGTCAAGAAAATGAATCAATTCATGATTTATCATCAAATAACGATCTTCTAGCGATTGTTCTGCGAACAAAGTCTCAGCAAATTCATTTAGATTTATGTTCGTCAGAAACACTCGAACGATATTGGTCGTTCGAATTAAATTCGATGAATGATTTTTATTCATATCGATGTTGCCCTTTGAAATTTCAACAATGGATGCTTATAAATCCAAATAATCGCGAACTTATTCACATCTCCAATGAAGGCAAACTTATTAAAAAAGCAAAATATCATCGATCTCTACCCATGTATGCTATTCAAACAGACGATGGTCGTTTCATCAATATAATGACAAACGAATGTATTCATCAACATCAACTTTATTGATATTTTCGAGATGGCAAATACTGACTCTATTTCAATATAAGACATAATCGTTTACCAATGCTTGTCTGTCGAAAAGCATTTTTGTACACAGTTGACGGATAAATAAACAGAAAAAATGTTAAGACGTGCGGAATGTGCGCGATGAGATACATAGCAAGTATAAGATAACGAAGCCACATGTTGTACCATTGGTCGCAATCGACAGCGAAGACAATGATGAGTTGTGGTAATGTCGAAGCGATCAGTACGAAAGGACAAATCAATTGATTTTTGCATTGTTGTATTTGTTCGCAGAATGTAACCAGAAAAGACTGTTTGTGAACCGATGATTTACTTTGTGCTACCGATCGAAGAGTCATGCAAAACGACCAAACATAGATCGCAAATGGTACTAAGTGATGAATAAAAAGTAGAATCGTGTCCATACGACTCCAAAACATCGAATAATTAACAGCGCATTGTACCATTGACTGGTTGATCTCGACCAATCGATGAAACACTATTTCTGTCATTGTACTACTGACGACTAAAACCATGCATACCATGTATAACAACATCTAAATCGATAGTTTTTGAGGGATTGACTTTTAAAACTAACTTTACCTGCTTCGAAGTTGAAACGGATTCTTTCACTGTTGTCTTCCGAAGACGTGTTAGACTAACATATGCAATTGACCATTTGCTGACACTAGTTAATGTCTTAACAGCATATGGTATCGTTTTGCAAAGAATTAAATTAATCGTACTACTTCCACTGATCACACGAGCGTCATTTAGTAATATATAAACGATCTGTGCGGTAAGACTAACGAGACATAATTGATTTGATACACAAATGCACACAAAAATATAGATGATAGACGAACGAGCAACTGTCGAATGACGAAATGTTTGGTAGGAACAGAAATTACTGACGAAACCAATGATCGTCATCAGAAGAGTTATGGACAAATAGATCACTTTCCAAGAAGCAAATTGATTGCTTTCTAAATATCCATCTTGTTGTTGATCGCTATCGTCATGAGAGGCGATTAATGCTTCCAAAGAATAACCGAATTGAGCTGTGCGATAATGACATAAATTTCCATGATAACATCGAGGACATTGACAAATAAAATCATTGTAATCATTCATTCTATCACCGAATAAGCACATGCCATCGTTTAAACCTGAGAAAGTATGAAATAAGCACTCCATCAGTACAGAAAATTATATGATCAACTTACAATAATCACAACGTTCGAAGAAGAAATCGTACAATGCGCAAGATGCTCTACGAGAGTTTTGATCGCATACGCAGAAATAAGTTTGTTCATCATAGAAACACGATACATTCGAGTGTTGACAAGGTCGATGATAAAATTTCAATCTGTGCATATGATCTCTCAAAGATTGATCACTTTCATTGTTAATCGAAATGAAATTTTGCAATTCTTCAATATGATAACACCGATTTTCCATAGTAACAGTATAGTTATGTTCGACGATGTTTGTCTTCCACAATAAGAATATATCATACATTCTTAGATGATTATTTCGATAAACTTTCAAGAGGCATGTATTAGGAAATCTTGTATTCGAGAAAAAGATCTGCACTGTATTGTTTTGAACAATAAGAAACCTTTGTGTAGAAATAGTCATTTGACCGGAAACATCCTCCCAATCATTTAATTGCAATATAGCTATCGAAGATTTGCTCAGAACCGCATCAGAGATACGAACTTTGGATGAAGCTGCACGCAATTGACAACTAAAACATTACATAACACCAAAAATCAAGAAGCTCAGGATAACTTACTAAGTACCATATAAATTTGCTGGACATATGCAGTATTCTTTATATGAACCACTTTCATAATTGTCTTCTGATAGATAGTAGCATGTGTGATTGTTATAGATAATTGGGTCTTCGTTTGATGTAGCGAAAATATGGCATGTACGTCCTCTTTGGATACCGGTACAAACACACAGAAAATCATCAGTTTGATTGAGACCATAACGATAAGCTGGAAAGTAAAGACTATAATTAGCGCATGGATTATTTGTGGGTCGTTCAGAACATTGGAATCCATGCCAAGGTTCTTGACATTCGCAGTGAAACGTTGCTTCATCAATCATAAGACATCCTTTACTATGCGATCCACATGATTGTGTAATCTGTGTTGAACATGTCGTAGAACGGTGATATACTAGCTGAACTGTCAAACGGAAGGCAGGTAGAAATGGAAACTTCACTGGATAATGCCAAACAGAGAGAAGATCGATTTTCTGTTGAGCAACCTTATAGAGATGAAAGGTAATTGTATAATCTTTTGGAGACGCTTCTCGAATGGTTTTTAACAATGACCATGGATAGAAGAGATAGAACCGTTGTTTAACCTTCAATGGTAATTGAGTTGGATTGTAAGATAAGATCATGAAGTCAATTATTTTTTCGTGATATTTAAGAAGAGTTACAACTCGCACTGCTGTTCTGTTCACTTTCGATAAACTCAATGTCATGTCTAATGTAAACACAACAGTGATATGATGTGTATAAAATTCACAATGATCACCAAAAGCACTCGGCGGACAGAAACATCGTCTAACCTTAAGACTTTCTGGTCCCTCGTTAACGTAGAGGCCGTGATGACATCTCCATATATTGTGCGTATCCACTGCTTGTCGTTTTCTTCTAGTAACTTCGACAGACATGATTGCCTTTGCATACTTTTCCGGATTTGTCACTGAAGCATGGCATGATTTTTCGTCATTTGTATTATTCTCGCAATCAATCTTGCCATCACAACGTTTTTTGCTAGGTAGACAGTTGTGAAGCGCGCACTGAAAAAATCCGCTAGTGTGGCATTCACCGTTTATAGGTATGAACGATGACTGACTGTAATTTTTTCGTGAGCAATAAAGGTTTGATTCATCTTCACCATTCGAACACTGACGTATTCCGTCACCTATAAGAAATATTCCATCGTAATCTCGTTTGTGTTTACGATACTCACAAATAAATCTTTGCGGTATACAAATTCCATCTGTGCAACGAAATCGATCTTGAATTTGCAGATCATCTTGACAATCAATCGTATATCTTTCATCCTGTCCACCGATACAATCAACTCTTCCGTCACCAAGAAGCTTGCTGTTGACGAAAATATTAATTTTCTCTCCAGTTCTTACACTTTGACATGGCCAATCGAATGCTTGTGAAGGAACATATCTGAAAGCAAGCGTACATCGATTGCATACGCAGATTTGTTTCCTTACCTTCCGGGCATATTCTCTAGTAGACAATTCCGTTCATCTTGACCATCTGGATGATCCCACTCACCGTCGCATCGAGCTGATTTCGGTATGCAATTGCCATTCCAAAGAGGTGTGTCCGGCCGGTCATATTTTATCCAATGTGGTGAGCAGATCCATTCACTTTCCGCACAATACATTTCATCGAATCCATGAGGCATATCCCAAAATGAATTGCACAAACTATGAAAAGGTAACATCAACTCTTTCTTATTATTTTTCCACAAAGAGGCTTTTCGGAGTATTTGACATCCTACATCTGTTGATCGTTGACATTCGACTAATTTCCAATTGATCCAGATATTGATTTCGTCAGATCCATCAGGGCAATGAGTTTGTCCATCACCTATACATATGCATTGAAGAAACATTTGATTCCATGAGTGCAGAGCTTACCGAGAAGATGAAGCATGATCGTGCTTTGAACTGTTTCGCATTTGTAACGATCTTGTAAAAATGCGTCGTCAATCGGTAATTTCAAATTTGTTATATCTTCATCAGATCTATCCAAACAATCGAAATACCCATCTAACAGTCGATAATTCGATATACATTCCTTTGAAATAGCACATCGATGAAAATCAGAAGGATAATGTTCGCATACTCTATCTAGTAGGGAACGGTTCATTTTCTGTTGATCAAACGTTACTTTAGCTTCTCGTAGATTCTTTTTATTGACACAACCAGATGATTTCTCTTTATGTTCGAGCGAACGTTTTATTTCATTAGAAATGATACTATCATCTTCCCAAGGAATACATTGTCCATCACCACAGGAATATGTCTTATCAGGACAAATTCGTTCGTTACAATCAAATTGTGCTAACTCATAACAGAACTCGCCTTTAAACTCGCGTCTTTCGTCGCTTCCATCCATGCAATCAAAATCACCATCGAAAAGAAATGCACGAGGAATGCATAAACCATTTCGACATCGAAATTCCCTTGGCGAATCACATGAATTCATTTCCAGTTGAATACATTGCCTTTCATCTTCACCATTCAGACAATCCCATTCGCCATCACAAATATCCCGCCAATCAAGACACTTTTTCGAACATGCTAATCCATGAAGAGTATAACAAGGTACTGGATGCCCATTGGATGCAAGTTCAGTGCGAGTCTCGATGTGCCAGTCAACGAAATTGTTGTAACTCAAAAATTCCAGATCGTTTTCAAATGGATAATTATATTCACAGTATCGACCAAAGGCTAACAATTGAATTTTACTAGACAAATCTTCTATCGACTGAAACTCACTTTCAAACGGATCGCATAAACATACGAAATCTTTATGCATCTTGTTCAGTTTGGAAACGTTTGCATTGAACCTTCGCAGAGTCAAATATTCCCCATAAGCATCGACGACATCAAACGGAATGTCATTGTCCATTAACCAGTCTTCTTGGTATTCTGAAAACAAGGAAATCTGCGTAAAGCTTCAGTTATCTGTTCACGTACTTTCCCGGTATAGTTTCTCAAAGGTGTATTTTCGACCAGATGAACCACATTTTCTGTATACATTTGATTGCTTCTTTTCATTTCGAATACAATATAAAATATAATCGTCGACATCGTCGGCATACCGTTTTTTATAATTACCATATTCTTTTGGCATTAGAAAACAATCTCGATACGTAGCTGGTTGTCCTTGATGCATAGTATGCTCAAATCTGTAGCTTTGAATAATTCGAGCCATTCCAATGATATAAAGTATATCCATAAAAGAAGAGAATCGACAGGATTTCAACCAATTCATCTATTTGGCTTCGATTTGACAAGTGTTGTATATGCAATCCAAATCGGTGAAATGTCAATGTTTATTTGCAAATGTTTGGCATCTGTTTCCTATTTTGTGACATTATGGGAAATTGCAATTTTGACAGATTCACTTCATATATTTGTTATATTTAGGAAAATTAATCTACACTGTAACACTCGCCCCCTTTCCTTTTCTCTACAAATAGTAATAATGAATGCATGTCTATTCTCTTTCTTTCTTTCTCGTTTGCCTAATTCCCCTCAAACTACGAACAGAGTTTTATTTCGTTAAAAGCATTTTTCGACAACACCGAAGAATAAAATTACAGAACGAGTTGTGCAACGTAGTATTTCTTACTTTGATTCTCTACCAAATGGTAGACAAAAAAGATTTCACAATACACACGAATGAAGGCATTCTATTTCGTCGGCGTATTTATCGAATTTTACAAAACTTTCTTTTGGTGTGGCTTGACGCCGACTTCAACGAAACTAAACATGATTTTAAAGCATCAATTCAACTGCTTCGACGTATTGTAACATCTATCGCAACTTTTACTGATGTCGACGAATGTATTGATTATATCACTGAAATCGAGAACGAAAAAGTGTTCCTAATTATATCTGGTTTTTTTGGGACAACAAATAGTACNGAAAACAAAAGTACATATATCGGCGGCGTGTCTTTTGTTTTCTTTGTTTTTGTCCAGGGTCGCCAATTGTTAGAGAGAAAAGACGGGAGATGGTAGTGTGGACGATCTTCGTCCGAGTTTATTCTCTAACTGTTTCAAATAACGAAAAGGTTTACATATATATGAGAGGGAGAGGCGGACGCGGCGAGAGAGCGCATCACAAGTGTGATGTCGCCCTAACAAATTGTTTGGACGAGAACGACCTCAAAACAGGCCGGACCAACTTCTTCGGCGAAAAGTCCTAAGATTTCTACGAAGGAGGAATTCTTCCCCTGCTAGAGCGTTGACAAGAAGTCATAGCTAGTAATGGAGTATACATTGATGAAAGCTAGTTATATTTTTTAAGTTAAAAAAGAAAACGAATTTTTCTCGAGAAATAACACAAAAGAATTTTCTTGCCAACCCAATATAACTTCTCTTTATCGGTTTTAAAGGTCTATATTGCTTCAGACTTGATCTACCCTTGAACTTGACCATAGTTTCATCGATACAATCCTAGCGACCAAACTTATAGTTATTTTGAAAGTTCCTGAGTAAAATTTCAGTAAAGTTCTGTATTTTGTAAATTTTACTGTAGTTAGGTAAACCACGTTTCGGCTCAGATGAGCTGTCAGCTAGATGTATGTTATAAAAGATCTGAGGAAAGTGATTTTGTAAGATAACTGAAGAAATAAAACTACCCAGGTCAACAAATCCGACGTTGGATCCGATGAGAACCGATCAGATCCCGACTGGAAAAATCCAGTCATTTGTTGCAAATTTTATGAGCGTTCCCAGGTCGAACAATCCGGCCCGGAACCGACCAGTTCCAGGACCTTCCGGGGATTTCATGGAAGCAGTATTCCGGCGATCGGATCCTTTCATCGGATTTAAAAGGTTTTATCGAGAACCAGCAAGAACCCGCCATAGCCGATAGTCGGATACGATTACCGGTTCCTTTAGTAGGATTCCGAGTCTTTTCTCGTGGTTTCCAGCGCGGAAAATATGAAAATCCGGCCGATTTTCGCCGGAAATAAACGGAATACTGCTTCCAGGAACGATCGTCCTGGGTTATTTTTAGCTAAGTTCTATAATGACCCTTAGAAAATTCATAAAATCCGTGTTTCGGATCCGACGCAATCCGAAGCAATTCCGTCACCAGGAATCCTATCGGATTCCGATAAGATCTGGCAGAAACCGATATAGGATCCGATCGGATCCGAGTATGGGATTTGTCCACCTGGGTATTATGCCAAACATCTTCTTTACTCCAGTAGTGTTTCATGCTTGGTAAACTATTGATTGCCATCACAATGATTGTTCCAAGGAACGATTCGATATCTTTTGTTGTTATGTCCTCTCAGCGATCTATATTCTTCTGACTATGTTTTCGTTTCTTTTACTTCCCATAAATGTTTGTTTGGTCAACAATTAGATTGAAAATTTCTTGAGTAAAAAATTTCCTAAACACGGAAATTGGTGTTACTTCGGTGCAAGAAATTGACGTAAAACCGCCGTCAACCATATGATTTTCGCTAATAGAATCAACTTCCATTTCATTTTCAGCCGAATATTCGCTTAATATTTGAAGTCCATCCAGATCATTAGCTAAGTCACTATAATCGACATCAAAATCGCTTTCATCACTGACTTCATCAGTAAATGAATCATGTGAGTTATCGTCGGATTTATTGTTTCCGAAAGGTTCTGTCTATGAGTTTTGATGAAAGTATAGAATTATAAAGTATGCTTATTTTGCGAAAACTGTTCAAAAGAGGAAAAAATACATGAAAAAATTGTTGGGTTCATCGTAGAGATCATTCGACAGGAAGTTTCACGGTGTTTGTCAGAATACTACCAACATGGGATGTAAGAGGTGCGTGTGTATTGTTTCGAATTTCGATCAATTTTCTCATGAATGTCAAAGGATTATTACAAAAATGACACTCATGAAGTCTCAGAAGTGAGCGATGTTCTAGTTGTTTTACAAATCCATCAAAAGCAATCCAACCATTTTCAAAAGCAGTCTCTTCAATTTCCGTACGTGGTTTCGGACATATACCAAGGCATCGGCAATAGGCATCTTGTTCATTTTCACTTTTAAAGTATAAAGTACCATTAAAAATAAACAAAATCGCCAACCATTCGAATGGAATTGAGAAATTCAGAATATTAGACGGCGGCACTGTTAAAGTTGGTATATTGGCTATAATTGATTGCTCTCGTTTAATCCGTGGCAATATTAGACGCAGTGTTGTTGTAAAGAATTCCCTTGAACGTTTCTGACGATGGAGAGCATGTAATCGATCCATGATCCAATTAGCTTCGAAAGCACTGACAAAAATAACGTGTTCATCACGATAGATCAGAATCCATCGCATTGGACGTAGAAAGGGATCCAATGATTCTCCTTTTGCTTGTACCACACGTACGAATTCATCAGTCACCCAAAAATTTTTTGGCCAACAATGTGGTTGACATTCGCGATGAAACGTTGTACCAAGAAAAGCATCACTAATTGGATGAAACACGGAAGTTGTTTTTGATAAATTTAACATGGGATCAATCGGATTGCATAAAGCTTTAATTTCATCATGTAATTGTGGGTCAACAGGGCGAACAGGTGAAGGACGTTTCTGTTGTCGTTCTTCTTCTAATTCTTGTTCTCGCTCCAGTTCTCGCTGTTGTTCTTCATCTAATAATTGTGTCAAGAGTTTTTTCGAACCGCCATAGTCACGTAATCGTTTGGAAACGGCTTCATGAATTTCCGTTGAGAAAAATATGTTGAAATGTTTATATCGAGCAGAATAAATGTCTGATATTGTTTCCAATGTTTTCGATACACCATACATCGATTTCAATTCTATGACCTCAGCTTCTAATGACCCTCTCGCTATGTTATCCATTGTTGTGCTTGTATATGATATTCCTTCTTTTTCCAAATCGATGTTTCGAAAAGCAGCCAATTTTCGTTGAAAACTTAAACTCTGTGTTGCCCACAGATGTAAACCATCCCAAGTTGCCTGTTGAGTATTTCCATAAACCCAACGGAGAACGTCCGTCAAAACAATTTGTTCATCACCATTTCCCATTTTATTTCGTGAAATTCCATGATTCTTCATCGCACGAATTTGTTGATGAACTTCGCTTGAACTCCAAAAACTTAACCAATGATGTTTTCCTAGTTTTCTCATTCTCATGCATGCTTGAACTAAACGATCCTTGGTCAGACCGCTTCCTAAGGTAACAGCAGCTCGAAACTCATTTGGAAACTTAAAATCAGTTCCTCTGGTATGAATTTCATCCAAATAGAATACACAACGATCAAGACGTTCACTAGCTGGAGATGTTGCCAAAGCATGATGTTGATGCTGACGATTACAAACAAATATTGAATCCGATTCGAAATACACAACATAGTCGATTTTGAGTCTATCTGACAAGTCTAACCACTTGATAGCTGTTTGACGATTAGTTCCATCGATCAACAAAGCGCCAACATCAAGAATAACTTGAATCATTGGTTCTTGAGACACAATTCGTTTTAATATTTCGTCCGTATTCGTAGCAATAGGTAAATCTTGATAATGATCATTTTCCGAGCGAAGTAAGTTGTTGAGTACAATGGCATCCGTTTGACGAAGTTCGGGTAAATCACACTGACGAATATGAACAGGTAGGAGCAGCTGAGTATCATTTGTTCCACTAAATCCAGTTATTGTTTTTTCTCGGAAAGATGAAGATAAATCCCAAGCGGATGCAACTAATTTCTGTGGAAATTGTTTAGCTTCGCGAGGAAAAACAAAATGATTGAGAAAATAATTTATAACTAACATATTGTACCGTAAACTAGGAAAGAGTAACTGAGTTCGTTGTTGATAGTCTCGTAAATTGATTTTTTTCCATTGTTTTATACTTGCTATGATGTCAGTTTCTTCTTCGAGTGAAATCCACTGATCATAGATCATTTCCGGTTCGTTTTCATCTTGATTTAAACGATTGAAACATTGATACATTTGTGGATCTGTTAGACCTTGATAATAATAGGAAAGTTGTGTTAAGACAATAGCGACATCGGGATGTCCGAATTCAGTATTTTCAGCGGCAACGTCTTTTGCACGAAACGGTACTGCCATTAAACGATTGAATTTTGTATTTGAATTGATACCAAAATTGACACGGTAGCGTTTTTTCAACGCGACAAACAAGACTTCAGACGATAGAAGACCACGTAAGATCAATAGCAATTGATTTGTACTTTCAGGAAATTGATTGAGTAGACTATCAATTGATGAACTCGTATCTAATATAAATGATAAGATACGTTGTTGATCCAATTGTCGATAGCTTTTTTGATTAATCCAATCGTTTGCTACTCTTCGGCATAATTCAGAATATGACAGATGACTTAGCAGACGAAATTCCGGAAAACTACTCTGTCGTTTGGATGATTGGTAAAAAATATCATTTTTATATTGTTGTGCGATGCTTGCGGCATGTTGTTTGACTAAATTGAGGACGTATTGAATAGTTTTCCAGCGTTCGATACCTCCATCAACCTGCAGCTGGCGACCAATCGAATAAATTAATTGATATTTGACATGTAAAATTTCATCGGATTCATCTAAAACATCACGAACATATTTTTTCACCCAACTTTGAATCGATAACATTGAACCGCCAACATCATACTCATTTCGACGACATTTATCTATTGTAAGTAAATCGAAAGATAAGATGTCTTCCGGAGAAGTTAATATAACGTCCAAATTGTGTATCGCTTGTTTGAAACGATTGAAAATTTGATTTGCTTGCACATCATTGAAATTCATATCACGACGACAGGCAAATGGTATTACATGTCGATTGAGTAAACCGCCTAGCTTATATCGTAATGATTGATAATTCATTGGAAATAATGCTTTTAATACAATAATACGAACCAAGTTCGAAGCTGAAGAACACAAACTGACCGCTAACATAGGTAAAATAACAGATGTTTTGCCTTCGCCCATATTCATTTGCATGACAATATTTCGTACAGATGAACTGTTTTCATTTATTAATGGTTGTGTCATATGACGTGCTACTTGAACTTGTACTTCTCGAATGGTGATATTCATTTCAAGTTCTAATATTAACCATGGAATATGTTCTGAGGGCGTCCAATTGATATGAGGGACATTTAACATTTCTTTTTCAAATTCCTCCCACTTTTCTAAATCAGCGAAATTCAAAGCTCTTTCAATCTGTTGTTCGACAATCCAATTAACCATAATACCACCAAGTAGTATACATTGATTATGTGTGAGATGTAACGATAAGATATTGGAATGGTTTTCACTTAGCCATGTTTGTTGAAAAATAGAAATCAGAATTGTTGGTAAGATTCGTACGACGAGACCTACTTTGACCAATAAATCATTGGCTGTTCTAATGGATTGTACTAATTCGTCCCAGTATAGTTTCGATTCTTGACGATAGCGATCAAGAAATTGTTCGATTTGTTCGAGTGATGGAAATTCTTGTTGATATTCTTCGGTTAGATTGAATTTATTCCAACTTTCGGTTAAATGTTTTTTAAAATAATCTGTAATATCGCTGAAAGGATTGACTTGAGAATCAATTGAAGGGAAAATATCTTCGGGAAAAGTTTTCTTTTCAGTTTTGATTGGAATACACATATTTGGTTTGATGAAATAATTCGAATGAGGATGCAAAAATTTTGCTCGTGCATCTTCAATTGATTTGAGATTAATGAGTGTATCTGTCATAGTGATACGAACTTGAAAATGTGCTTGAAAAGATTCGAATTCAAATAGTTGAGGAATGACATACACCTTCAGATTTAATGGAGTAATCGAAATGGAACGAAAATGATCTTGAACATTGTCTAAGAACAGACGAAGTTTGCCGTTGTCTCGCCAAGATTGTAATAATCTATTGATTCTATTCGTTTGACGGGTTAATTGATGCATGCTTGGTAGATCATTGTTTTCATACATAGAATTCTTATTGAAACAATCTTGAATTTCTCGAAAAACGATTGCTCGTTTATAATGGCCCATTTTTCCTAGATTGATTCGATGAGTTTGCACTGTGGTTTCTTGAATATTTACATAAGCAGTAAATGTGGGATAGGAAAAAGATATCGCTGTTGTAGTTGGTGCTCTTAAAAAGGATTTCAGCATCTGTAAATAATATGGTTTACTTGAACATCTATCGGAGATATAGTATAGAAAATCCAGTAGGATTTCAAATCTTTCAAACGCATTTTTATGATTATCACCTTCATGAAGCGCTTTTACATCTTCGGCAAATTTCAATAAACCAATCCAAGTATGTTTCAATTGATACTCATCTTTAAGCCATCGAGATAATGGAAAACAGTGGAGTTCTTTACTGTGTTTTAGATCGACATCCCCACTACCATATAAGTAATCGACAAGACGACAAGAATTGTAGTTTGTTGAGTATGATGAATTATTCGAAACTGGTTGAAATGATTGTGTCGAACTCATCTGACGAATGTCTTTCTCCATGTCTTCTGATAGTCGTGCTGTAGGATTGTATGAATCTCGATAATCCCAGTAGAGTTTACCTAAGAGCTTTTCATTATATTTTTTACTTTGAAATAATTTGTGTAGTTCATCATTTGAAATGACTAATGAATGCATGAAATTCCATTCTTCACTAGTTTCGACTAATTTTTTCACTATCAAATAATAACCAAAATGTTGCATTGAGTACGGCAGACTATTTTCATTCCAATCGACTTTTGCCATGCAAGTGAGATGTTCGGGATAGAAACTTACTTTGGGTGAAATGGTTGCAATTTGAAGTAGAATATGTCGGGTGATTGAATCATAAGATTGATTAGACCAGCATCCTGCTGAATATAGTAATTGAAACGCACGTTCCATGCCAGTCATTCCTGTGTATCGATCAGGCAATGGATGTGAAGTCATCGCATGTAATAATGCTAAATAGAACCATCCTGTTGGGCTATCAGTTGGTTGAAGAACACGTAATCGATCATTCAAAACAAAAATAAAATATTGATGCAGCATTGATGTCGATGATTTTCGATCGATCGTAACCATTTGATGAGGACCATTTTCAGACGTCTTTGTTGCTTGAACAAGTCCAAAAGGGACAATTAACTTGCGATAGAGAGATGATGTATTGTTTTGATGAATTTGTCCAATTGGTGAAAGAAGAAGACCTGATTTGAGGCCGGTCAACGTTCCAAACGATTGATTTTCATCAACATACATTTCGGAATATTCACGCGAGGTTACGATTCTAGTGCGAAAGTCGTATTTAAAAGCAATGCCTAATCGAGGTAAATGAATATGAACAAACCCATTTTGTCTAATCATGTAGACATACGATTCTTCATCGAGACGAATGAAATATCGAGTAAACAAACTTTGAAAAAATGATGAGGAACGATTTATCAATATTTCCATATCTTCAAGGTTGTTCATTGTAAAATATCCGTTTTGCATGGTCAATATATATTGTTTGTCAGTTAAGAAATTTGAATCTTGAAAATGAATCGGTCGAAACTCTATCTGATTCTTGTCTATATCTCTCCAATGACTATAGTTCGATACAAATATATCCGATAATTCTCCTTCAAAACAACTCGAAGGAATTAATTCAAACTTTTCCTTTGTTTTTAGATGTCGTTCATACACTGTTAATCGCCGATTTCCATAATAACTATCATTATAAATGAATTCATAATGAACTTCTCCATTGTCATGATATCCATATTTTGTAATGTAACTATCTTCGGATTCAGCTGCCTGTACTTCAAAAATATGTGTACCAAATACTCGACGAAATAATTCATCAGAAGTAATTCTATCGGGTAGAAAACCAATAGTCATCTTATTGACAAAAAAGCTTCCTCTTATGCAATCAATAGATAATTTGTTTGATTCATATTCACCATCATACCAACCATCATACATATCATTGTTTCTTTTCTTCCATTTACCATTCATTGTACCTTTTGTTCGTAGAACTGCCCAATGTATCGCACAAAATTGATTTAAACTTTCATACGAACTTTCTTCAAGTAGTTTACTAATAATCGGATGAATCGATAATAACACATATTCACTATAACGCATTATATTTCTCATGAATATACTCATATGAGCTGTTTTCTTGTTTAAAATACTATTGTCATGCATAGTCGTTGCTATAGTCAAAAGAGAAACCACATCTTCACTTGTTAGTACCAATGTATTACTACTATCACTATATATTGAAAATGTAAGTAGATATGTCATAGCAGTAACAATGATTTTATCACGTAATCCATTCATCATAATACAATCGGATGAAGTTTGAATAGTTTCCGAAATACGTTCAATCCATTTTTTGCCTGTTTTTCGACATTTTAACACTAAATTTGTCATTTGTTCTTTTCGTGTTGAATTACATATTGTAAACATTCTCATAACAATTATTGTTATAATAACTAATAACAATTCATTTTGCCAATTCGATTCACAATCTTTCAAATGACGATCTAATCTTATGATCAATTCATCGAGAAAATCATCTTCTAATAATTGCTGATGTGATTCGGGACACCATGAACAAGTCAATGATTGTGGGTTTTCATTCACTGGACCATATTGTAAGAGAGAATGTGTTATGAGTATCACAACACTTTCTTCATCCATAGATAATGAATCTAATTCGAGAATACTTAAAAGATTCCACCATTGTAAACGGTGACCGGAACGAAATGAACCATATTCAATAAATTCGGTTAAATTGAGTTTCAACGAACATTTTGATAGTTCAGCGATGACTTGATTTTGTACAAATTCGGTATTCATAATAGAAAATTGTAAATCTTTATAATTTGAATCTGTTAGTTTAGGCGTTAGTGTTTGACATTCATCTTGAAATTCGTTTAATTTATTCGGAGATATTTGAACTTTTAGACTATTATCATAGAAAAATTCTTCCAGAGGCGTTGATATAACGTGTCGTGGAGCTGAATAATGACATTCTGATATAGATTTTGTTTCAGATACTAACTTCACTTTACAATTACGTGAACCATTGAAATATTTTCCCAGTTTAGATTGATGAGGACGAGTACTTAACCATTCATGCATACTATTCGAAGGATTTGATTTCGGCCGGTTAATGAATTGCCAAAGAATATCTCGATAACATCGAATTTCTTTTGGCATTTGTAATTCGAACATAACAGCTAAAGCACTGTATCGTTGAGATGGTATTGGACATTCATATATAGTAACTTTGATGCTTTCCGCTTCTTTTATCATGGTGCATCGATCACATTTTCGATAACGTATTAGTATAGAGTCGCATTCACATTTAAGATTATTGACTTTTTCCATTAGTTGTTCATATTTTTCTATCGCATTGGTTATTTCTTTGGTTTTGTCTTCCTTGTCTTGTGCAACTTGTTCTTGAATTTGTTTCAAATTTTCGTTCATTTCCACTGAATTTTCAGCGAAATAAACACCGAATGCATTTGGACAATCGATCTTGTTTAAAAGATGGGGATATGGTTTTCTGCTAAATTCTAAAAAATAATCATATAATTCTCGTGCACGAATCATATCATCTTGATTGGGTAAAACTAAAAATTCGAATAATTTCAAAAGATTAGGAATTTGAATGGCGTGAAGCTTCAATCGTTCGAATCGTGAATCTTCGCATAATTTCATATGCATCAATCGTATTATTGTTAATGATGCTATAATAAAACGACTGTAACCAGTTGCGTCCGTTGATTGTTTGTCTGCAGCATGAAAATCTAGAGCTCTACGCTGATAATCTTCATAGAAGGTTTGTAGATTTTCAAAACATGTGTATTTGTTTGTTGATAGTAAACAACGATTGATCCACTTTTCCAAATTGGTTTGTATCCAAAGTTCAACACGTGCTAAGGCTATGTTTGTAGCATCATTGTCGTAATTGATTAAGGTGGAAAGCTGAGGTAATTGATCGTTGTTATGAGCAATATTAGCTGATAACTGATGATCATAGGAGTATCGATTTGAAGTAGGTGGACGATCTTTTTCGAGATAAGCTTTGAGTTTGCGACATGGATGTTGATAGATTTCAAATTGTCTAGAATTCAGTTGGACTTTTTGAGCTTCTTTCGTGCCAACTTTCTCGATAGCTTCTTGCCAGTCGGAATTCGGAGTTAAACTATTGACTTTTTGTTTGATTCTTTCAATTGTATTTTGTATCCATGGATTTATATTGCTTGAGTCAACGGATAGAAGCAAAACATCAATTTTGTTCAATCGTCGTACAATCTTTCGTAGACAATGCACAAGAACATCCGTAGATCTCGACGAATTCCTTCGCTCTTTTCTCGTATGAATGAAATTGGTTAAAAAATCAGTGATAATCAACTTGTAAACGATATGACCTAACGTTCCCATACGTTTTGTTAGAATATTTTGAAAAACAACTTTCACAGCCATCCATAAACCTGATCGTCGAAAAGGATATGCTGAATTCTTATATCGGATTTGGTCACGATGCTTTTTCTTGAATGAAACGGAGGCATTCGTCTTATTATCGATTTGAACACCTTGAAAATGTGTAGTCCACCATTGACATACATAATGTGATATAGGTACTTCTCGAGTTTCATCAAATGTGTAAGATGCTTTATGGGATTTTGAATGTTCAATTGTATTATTCATAAATTCTGAAAGTAATTCGCAGTGGACAGTAGATGAAAGTTGACAGCGGTCAGGTAAGCGAAATGTAGAAACAGGAAAACAAGAAACATGTGGTTCGAGTGATGATGTAATCACGTTTGTTGGCAATAAGACTTGCCAAGATGAGATTAATGGTTGATCAGGAGAATTTTCATCGATTTCAATTAAAATTGCGGCATTTTGGGCATAGAAGTAAAGTGGGAGAAAATCTCCTGGTGATAGTTTCTGTATGATCGATTGTAAAACGGAAATCGAACACTTCTTCGTATTTTGTATGGTTGACCAACGCTCCGTACAAGTTTTAAGAGTTGAAAATATTGGTAATTGATTATTTTCATCTAACGATTTCCAATAATTATTCATACATTGAAGTAGTTTATATTCATTCTGATGATCAGATTGAATTAAATGATCGCTACTTGCTGAAGATGATAATCCATGTGGAAGAAATAGATGATTCAAAATCGATTCATCTACTTCTTGTGAATTCATTGTATCACAGTTGTTGTACACGTAGTTTTAAAAACGTACTTGATTAAACTGCTTCGATATCAGTAAAGTTCGCTTAGAATATAAGGGAGACGTAGTACTGTGAAAAAACCCAAACTTCTCAAGACACGTGAATTCGACGTCACCAAATCAAAACTTCTGTGATAGATGCCGTGAAATTCCATCAGCTACCTGACATGAGAAATAGGACACAAAATAAAAAATTATCAGAAAATATGATAAGTTTAGCTTTGTAAGTTGATTGACAATAGATTTTTATATAATTATGCAAAGAAAGCGTATCGATTGAATAATAGAAAATTTGCGAAAGCAAATCATGTTTATCATTAAGTGTGAGTCGTTCAGAAAAACTGTCCCATCTGTTTCTGCACTTCTTCAACGACTCCATTGATCAATTGTAACCCTTGTTGCCAATAAACTGCATATGCTGTGTCATCTATTGGTGGTAAAAACGCCACGCCCTCTGATAAAATAATATAGATGCTACTTGCGCCAAGCTATGACAACAAAATGAAAGAGATTCTCGTATGATAATCACATTTACGAGGGTGGGTGAGAGTGAAAAAGATGACATCCGCATGAACCATCACGCAATGCGTCGATTGTATGACCAGAGCAGATGTATTGCTTCTCACCCTCAACACATATGACGAACTTTTTGTAAAGGTCAAAAAATATGCTCGTCAATAATCGTTTAGGCAACTATGAATAATATCGGCCATCTTACAGTCAGATACTGAATATATATATATAAATCAGTTTTCTTATTCAATGTGAAATACTCATGTCTGGCCAAATATCGTCCAATATTAGTAGAGAGAGTTCTTCTGAGATTCACATGAATGACGCAGATTCTCGCAATTTATTTGATAATATTAATAAAATGATCAAAACTGTCGAACTTGTGTCATCACTCGCATCACAATTTACCAATAAACTCGATTATATGCGGCGAAACTCATTAGAAAACATGGATCAATTTTACAAAAGAAAGAAGCAAGAATTTGAGTTTCATCTTCGTCAACAACAGAAGCAGCAATTGAATCAGTTAACCTTCTTACGTAATCGAATTGTTTTTGGAATTAAAGAGAAAACCATCGATGAACATATGTTTGATCGACTCAATCATTTAATTGTATCTCTTCAAAACCAAGTGAATCAATTTCAATCTTATCGATTAAATATTTCTTTTGCAGTCGTCCTTAATGATTTTGCTCTTCTTCGAGATCATATTTCCAACTTCAACGATATTTTACCCTTATCCTCTTCGCGAACAACAATCAAGTTGCCAACGAAGTGTTTGTCGATGTCAATGAAAGAGAATCTTCTCTTGATAAACACCGATTTCAATCTAAGTGTATTAGATGAAAAATTCAAATTTATCCAATCGATACAATGGAATAATGAACCTATTTTAAATATGTTTTGCTCACAAACACTGAATCGGTTTATTCTGATTACTTCGAATAGAATCTTCAGTGTTGATGAACAATTAATAAACATCGAACGATTACCAATCAATGGAAAGAATTGGTTAACTGGAACATGTACAAATGAGTATTTGTTTCTCGTAACATCGAAAATCAATTCAATAATTTTCAAATATTCTTTGTCCGATTCTTTTCGAGCCAATCAAAGATATCCATCATTTGCAATTAATTGTCAAGAAAATGAATTAATTCATGATTTATCATCAAATAACGATCTTCTAGCAATTGTTCTGCGAACAACGTCTCAGCAAATTCAATTAGATTTATGTTCGCCAGAAACACTCGAACGATATTGGTCATTCGAATTAAATTCGATGAATGATTTTCATTCATATCGATGTTGTCCTTTGAAATTTCAACAATGGATGCTTATAAATCCAAATAATCGTGAACTTATTCATATTTCCAATCAAGGAAAACTTGTTAAAAAAGCAAAATATCATCGATCGGTACCCATGTATGCTATTCAAACAGACGATGGTCGTTTCATCAATATAATGACAAACGAATGTATTCATCAACATCAACTTTATTGATATTCTCGAGATGGCAAATACTCACTCTATTTCAATATAAGACATAATCGTTTACCAATGCTTGTCTGTCGAAAAGCATTTTTGTACACAGTTGACGGATAAATAAACAGAAAAAATGTTAAGACTTCAGGAATATGCGCGATGAGATACATGACAAGTATAAGATATCGAAGCCACATGTTGTACCATTGATCGCAATCGACAGCGAAGACAATGATGAGTTGTGGTAAGGTCGAAGCGATCAGTACGAACGGACAAATCAATTGATCTTTGCATTGTTGTATTTGTTCGCAGAATGTAACCAGAAATGACTGTTTGTGAACCGATGATTTACTTTGTGCTACCGATCGAAGAGTCATGCAAAACGACCAAACATAGATCGCAAATGGTACTAAGTGATGAACAAAAAGTAGAATCGTGTCCATACGACTCCAAAACATCGAATAATTAACTGCACATTGTACCATTGACTGGTTGATCTCGACCAATCGATGAAACATTATTTCTGTCATTGTACTACTGACGACTAGAATCATGCACACCATGTATAACAACATCTAAATCGATAGTTTTTGAAGGATTGACTTTTAAAACTAGCTTTACCTGTTTCGCAGTTGAAACGGATTCTTTCACTGTTGTCTTCTGAAGACGTGTTAGACTAACATATGCAATTGACCATTTGCTGACATAAGTTAATGTCTTAACAGCATATGGTATCGTTTTGCAAAGAATTAAATTGATCATACTACTTCCACTGATCACACGAGCGTCATTTAGTAGAATATAAATGATCTGTGCGGTAAGACTAACGAGACATAATTGATTGGATACACAAATGCTCACGAAAATATAGATGATAGACGAACGAGCAACTGTCGAATGACGAAATGTTTTGTAGGAACAGAAATTACTGACGAAACCAATGATCGTCATCAGAAGAGCTATGGACAAATAGATCACTTTCCAAGAAGCAAATTGATTACTTTCTGAATATCCATCTTGTTGTTGATCACTGTCGTCATGAGAGGCAAGTAATGCTTCCAAAGAGTAACCGAATTGAGCTGTGCGATAATGACATAAACTTCCATGATAACATCGAGGACATCGACAAATAAAATCATTGTAATCATTTATTCTATCACCGAACAAGCATATACCATCGTTTAAACCTGATAAAAGTATGAAATAAACACTCCATCAGTACAAAAAATTGTATGATCAACTTACAATAATCACAATGTTCGAAGAAGAAATTGTACAATGCGCAAGATGCTCTACGAGATGTTTGATCGCATACGCAGAAATAAGTTTGTTCATCATAGAAACACGATACATTCGAGTGTTGACAAGGTCGATGATAGAATTTCAATCTGTGCATATGATCTCTCAAAGATTGATCACTTTCGTTGTTAATCGAAATGAAATTTTTCAATTCTTGAATATGATAACATCGATTATCCATAGTAACAGCATAGTTATGTTTGACGATGCTTGTCTTCCACACTAAGAATATATCGTACATTCTTAGATGATTATTTCGATAAACTTTCAATAGGCATGTATTAGGGAATATTGCATTCGAGAAAAAGATCTGCACTGTATTGTTTTGAATAATAAGAAACCTTTGTGTAGAAATAGTCATTTGACCAGAAACATCCTCCCAATCATTTAATTGCAATATAGCTATCGAAGATTTGCTCACAACCGCATCAGAGATACGAACTTTGGATGAAGCTGCACGCAATTGACAACTAAAACATTACATAACACCGAAAATCAAGAATCTCAGGATAACTTACTAACTACCATATAAATTTGCTGGACATATGCAGTATTCTTTATATGAATCACTTTCATAATTGTCTTCTGATAGAAGGTAGCATGTGCGATTGTTATAGATAATTGAGTCTTCGTTTGATGTAGCGTAAATATGGCATGTACGTCCTCTTTGTATACCGGTACAAACACACAGAAAACCATCAGTTTGATTGAGACCATAACGATAAGCTGGAAAGTAAAGACTATAGTTAGCGCATGGATTATGTGTGGGTCGTTCAGAACATTGGGATCCATACCAAGGTCCTTGACATTCGCAGTGAGACGTTGCTTCATCTATCATAAGACATCCTTTACTATGCGATCCACATGATTGTGTAATCTGTGTTGAACATGTCGTAGAACGATGATATACTAGCTGAACTGTCAAACGGAAGGCAGGTAGAAATGGAAACTTCACTGGATAATGCCAGACAGAGAGAAGATTGATTTTCTCTTGAGCAACCTTATAGAGATGAAAGGTAATTGTATAATCTTTTGGAGACGCTTCTCGAATGGTTTTTAATAACGACCATGGATAGAACAGATAGAACCGTTGTTTGACCTTCAATGGTAACTGAGTTGGATTGTAAGATAAGATCATGAAGTCAATTATTTTTTCGCGATATTTAAGAAGAGTTACAACTCGCACTTCTGTTTTGTTCACTTTCGATAAATCCAGTGTCATGTCTAATGTAAACACAACAGTGATATGATGTGTATAGAATTCACAATGATCACCAAAAGCGCTCGGCGGACAGAAACATCGTCCAACCTTAAGACTTTCTGGTCCCTCGTTAACGTAGAGGCCGTGATGACATCTCCATATATTGTGCGTATCCACTGCTTGTCGTTTTCTTCTAGTAACTTCGACAGACATGATTGCCTTTGCATACTTTTCCGGATTTGTCACTGAAGCATGGCATGATTTTTCGTCATTTGTATTATTCTCGCAATCAATCTTGCCATCACAACGTTTTTTGCTAGGTAGACAGTTGTGAAGCGCGCACTGAAAAAATCCGCTAGTGTGGCATTCACCGTTTATAGGTATGAACGATGACTGACTGTAATTTTTTCGTGAGCAATAAAGGTTTGATTCATCTTCACCATTCGAACACTGACGTATTCCGTCACCTATAAGAAATATTCCATCGTAATCTCGTTTGTGTTTACGATACTCACAAATAAATCTTTGCGGTATACAAATTCCATCTGTGCAACGAAATCGATCTTGAATTTGCAGATCATCTTGACAATCAATCGTATATCTTTCATCCTGTCCACCGATACAATCAACTCTTCCGTCACCAAGAAGCTTGCTGTTGACGAAAATATTAATTTTCTCTCCAGTTCTTACACTTTGACATGGCCAATCGAATGCTTGTGAAGGAACATATCTGAAAGCAAGCGTACATCGATTGCATACGCAGATTTGTTTCCTTACCTTCCGGGCATATTCTCTAGTAGACAATTCCGTTCATCTTGACCATCTGGATGATCCCACTCACCGTCGCATCGAGCTGATTTCGGTATGCAATTGCCATTCCAAAGAGGTGTGTCCGGCCGGTCATATTTTATCCAATGTGGCGAGCAGATCCATTCACTTTCGGCACAATACATTTCATCGAATCCATGAGGCATATCCCAAAATGAATTGCACAAACTATGAAAAGGTAACATCAACTCTTTCTTATTATTTTTCCACAAAGAGGCTCTTCGGAGTATTTGACATCCTACATCTGTTGATCGTTGACATTCGACTAATTTCCAATTAATCCAGATATTGATTTCGTCAGATCCATCAGGACAATGAGTTTGTCCATCACCTATACACATATATTGAAGGGACATTTGATTCCATGAGTACAGAGCTTACCGAGAAGATGAAGCATGATCGTGCTTTGAACTGTTTCGCATTTGTAACGATCTTGTAAAAATGCGTCGTTAATCGGTAATTTCAAATTTGCTATATCTTCATCAGATCCATCCAGACAATCGAAATATCCATCTAACAGTCGATAATTCGATATACATTCCTTTGAAATAGCACATCGATGAAAATCAGAAGGATAATGTTCGCATACTCTATCTAGTAGGGAACGGTTCGTTTTCTGTTTATCAAACGTTACTTTAGCTTCTCGTAGACTCTTTTTATTGACACAATCAGATGATTTCTTTTCATGTTTGAGCGAACGTTTTATTTCATTAAAAATGATATTATCATCTTCCCAAGGAATACATTGCCCATCACCACAGGAATATGTCTTATCAGGACAAATTCGTTCGTCACAATCAAATTGCGCTAACTCATAACAGAACTCGTCTTTAAACTCGCGTCTTTCGTCGCTTCCATCCATGCAATCAAAATCACCGTCGAAAAGAAATGCACGAGGAATGCATAAACCATTTCGACATCGAAATTCCCTTGCCGAATCACATGAATTCATTTCCAGTTGAATACATTGTCTTTCATCTTCACCATTCAGACAATCCCATTCGCCATCACAAATATCCCGCCAATCAAGGCACTTTTTCGAACACGCTAATCCATGAAGAGTATAACAAGGTACTGGATGCCCATTGGATGCAAGTTCAGTGCGAGTCGCGATGTGCCAGTCAACGAAATCGTTGTAACTCAAAAATTCCAGATCGTTTTCAAATGGATAATTATATTCACAGTATCGACCAAAGGCTAACAACTGAATTTTACTAGACAAATCTTCTGTCGACTGAAACTCACTTTCAAACGGTTGGCATAAACATACGAAATCTTTATGCATTTTGTTCAGTTTGGAAACGTTTGCATTGAACCTTCGCAAAGTTAAATATTCCCCATAAGCATCGACGACATCAAACGGAATGTCATTGTCCATTAACCAGTCTTCTTGGTATTCTGAAAACAAGGAAATCTGCGTAAAACTTCAGTTATCTGTTCACATACTTTCCCGGTATAGTTTCTCAAAGGTGTATTTTCGACCAGATGAACTACATTGTCTGTATACATTTGATTGCTTCTTTTCATTTCGAATACAATATGAAATATAATTGTCGACATCGTCCGCATACCGTTTTTTATAATTACCATATTCTTTTGACATTAGAAAACAATCTTGATACGTAGCTGGTTGTCCTTGATGCATAGTATGCTCAAATCTGTAGCTTTGAATAATTCGCGCCATTCCAATGATATAAAGTATATCCATAAAAGAAGAGAATCGACAGGATTTCAACCAATTCATCTATTTGGCTTCGATCTGACAAGTGTTGTATATGCAATCCAAATCTGTGAAATGTCGATGTTTATTTGCAAATATTTGGCATATGTTTTAATATTTTGTGACATTATGAGAAATGGCAACTTTGACAGATTCACTTCATATATTTGTTATATTTAGGAAAATTAATCTATACTGTAACACTCGTCTCCTTTTCCTTTCTCTACAAATAATGATGATGAATGCATTTCGATTCTCTTTCTTTCTTTCTTTCTTTCTCGTTTGCCTAATTCCCCTCAAACTACAAACAGAGTTTTATTTCGTTAAAAGCATTTTTCGACAACACCGAAGAATAAAATTACAGAAAGAGTTGTGCAACGTAGTATTTCTTACTTTCATTCTCTACTAAATGGTAGACAAAAAAGATTTCACAATAGACACGAATGAAGGCATTTTATTTCGTCGGCATATTCGTCGAATTTTACAAAACTTTCTTTTGGTATGGCTTGACGCCGACATTAACGAAACTAAACATGATTTTACAGCATCAATTCAACTGCTTCGACGTATTGTAACATCTATCGCAACTTTTACTGATGTCGACGAATGTATTGATTACATCACTGAAATCGAGAACGAAAAAGTGTTCCTAATTATATCTGGTTTTTTGGGACGACAAATAGTACCATTAATCCATGCATGGTCACAAATACATTCGATATATGTGCTCTGTGGTGATCAGTCGATTAATAAGGAATGGACAGAGAAAATATCAAAAGTAAAAGGTGTGCATACCGATATGGAATCAATTTGCAAATCCCTGCAGGTCGATCGCGAATGGTGTGACCGACATTCGATTCCGATTAGTTTTCGCGGAATTGATCCATTGTTTATGTACACACAATTGTTCAAGGAGGCACTTTTGGACATTGAAGATGATAAGGATGCAAGCATCAAAGAGTTTGTCGAATTCTGTCAGCTGCAAGATGACATTGCCGACGACACCATTCAAAAAATTCAAGAAGAATACAGTCATCATACAGCTATTTGGTGGTACACAGCACCGTATTTTATTTCGTCCATGCTTAACAAGGGTCTTCGATCGCTTGATGTCGACATACTACTAAAATTGGGCTTTTTTGTTCGACATTTACATAGAAATATTGAAAAGTTACATCGTGAGCAACAATCGGCGAAAAGTGTTGTACACTTTATTGTTTATAGGGGTCAAGGTTTATCGATCGAAAACTTCGAAAATATGAAACAATCAAAAGGCGGACTTATGTCATTTAATAACTTTTTGTCAACCAGCCGAAATCGAAATATTTCACTCCTATTTGCGGAGTCGGCCGCACAGGATCCTACTTTGATGGGCATTCTTTTTATAATGACAGTTGATCCAACCCTATGCTCGAAATCATCAGCACCTTTTGTTGATATTACAAACGAAGGTTTTTACGACAGTGGTGAAGAAGAAGTTCTTTTCTCCACGCACACTATTTTCCGTATTGACAAAGTCGTACCGATAGACCACGATCGAAGTGGACACTTATGGGAAGTTTATCTTACATTTGCAGGTAACGACGACAATCAATTAAACTTAATAACAGAGGAATTTCGTAGAGAGATGAACTCTGTGCTAAAAGGCTTCTCTCGATTGGGCTACATACTTATCAAGCTCGAGGAATCGGCGAAAGCGATCCAACTTTATGAAGTTCTTCTGAGTAGAACATGCGATAAGTACTGTCAAGTAGAGTACTATAATCAGCTCGGTTGGGCGTATAAAATCATGGGTGAATATTCCAAGGCAATTTGGTGCCACGAAAAAGCACTGATGACCAGTGAGAATGATCATTTTTTGGATATGAAAAGTTTGTCTACTATCTATACCAACATCGGTCTAGCACATAATGAGATGGCGAACTATGAAACAGCACTCTTGTGGTACCAAAAAGCTTTAGATATTCGAAAGAAGATTCATCCTACGGATCCCCTCGCCATTGCTCACTGCTACAACAATATCGGCTTAGCCTATTATGGTATGCATGAGTACATGAAAGCACTTTCATTTTACCAAAACGATCTCGAGATTAGCCTAAAACTTCTTCCTTGTAACCATCCTGACTTAGCTACTTCCTATATGAACATAGCGTTAGTGTATCAAGGCATGAATGACTATCCAAACGCACTCTCATCACATGAAAAGTCGCTCGAGATTACGAAACAAATACAGCCTTCAAATCATCCGGATTTGGCAGTCAGCTACAGCAATATCAGCTTGGTGTATAACAGCATGAATGATCACTCCAAAGCACTTTCATATCAAGAAAAATCGCTCGAGATCAGGAGACAAGTCCTTACCGACAATCATCCTTACCTTATTCACTCGTACGTCAACATTGGTTTGACGCACGTGGGTATGGGCCAATATTTGGAGGCGCTTACATGCTTTGAAAAAGCTCTCGATATTCAAAAACGAGTTCGATCACCAAATCATTCTGTTTTGAGTGGTATTTTGTGCAACATCGGCGTAACTTACTATAAAATAGGCGAGTATTCAAAAGCGCTTTCATATTATGAAAAGTCTCTCGACATTGCTAAAGAAACTCGTCCTGCGACTGATCTTCGTCTTGCTCAAACTTACCACAACATTGCTTCGACGCACTCTGAGATGAATGAATACTCCAAAGCGCTTGTATGGTACGAAAAGTCTCTCGAGATTAAAAAAGAAATTCTTCCTGCGCACCATGTGCTACTTGCCGATTCCTACAACGACATCGGCCGAACATATGTCAAAATAGGTGACTATTCCAAAGCACTTCTAAATTATGAGAGATCTGCGGAAGTTCTAAAACAAGCTCCTACTGTGGAATATGTCAAGCTAACTGATCATTACAAAATAATCGGTTCATTGTGCAGTGTAACAGACGACTATCCCAAAGCTCTCTTGTTCTATGAACAGTTGCTTCAGATTCAGAAAGAAGTTTTACCTTCGAATCATCCAGAACTTGCTGATACATACGGTATAATCAGTTTTTTCCACTACAAAATGAAAGAGTATTCGAAAGCGCTTGTATCGTACGAAAAATTGCTGGATGTACTTCAAAAAGCTCTGGCTCCTAATCATCCAAAATTGGTGGCCGTCCACAAAGACATAGCTGCCATACACTATGAAATGAATGAGTATTCGAAGTCGCTTCTATGGTACAAAAAGGCCTTGGACGTTCAGAATAAAATTCTACCTGTAAATCACTTCGAATTGGCTGATTTATACAAGAAAATTGTCTTTTTGTATTACCAGATAGGAGAGTATTCTCAAGCGTTTTTATACCAACAGAAAATTCTTAACATTGAAAGACAAATTCCACTTACGAATCGTCACGATTCCACTTCTTCTTAGAATAAAGTATTGAACGAATGCTATTCTTGTTCACGAAAATTTTCTGGTGAAGAAATGCATCGTGTACCAATGGACCGACCTATTTTTATATTCCTCCAACGGTTACGATCGTCAATCTAATGATAAAGCACTTTTAAATATCATATTCGTCAGCACATCATTTGAGAGCATATAGGTAACTATTCAACAGAAATGCATGCAGATAAGAGTTATGCTGCTTTTGTTGTTGTTTTCTTCTGATAATAGAACATGAATATACACACCAGTTGCATGGTATAATATAGAGCAAAGTACGTGTCAACTAGAAAATTACATCAAGAAGCAGTTTCTCCAAATTGATTATTATATTGAGCACAATTCTATTCGCAAAAGACTATTTTAGATGAACGAGCCTATTGGAATCTTGAAGCAGACTCTACTGCTGCTCGTTTTTATTTCGTTAATACAAGCTACACGTGCAGTCGTTAATTACAAATTAACATCAGTCATGATGGATTCCACAGGTAATTTATCACTGTGGGTTGGCAAACGTCAGGCAAGTATTGACATTTACACGGATTGGTGCGATGATTCATTGGACTCGTTCTTTCATATCGACATGGACAATGTATGGAATCGTAGTATGATCCCATTCATAACATGGGAAATAACTCTGTGTAACCATACTAACGAAGACGATCCTGGAATAACGAAGAGAATCAATAACAATACTTATGATCCGTATATTAATCGATTTGGTGATCGTATGAAACAATGGTTAGCCGGTCCTGATCAGATATATGGAACTAGCGACGATAGACGTGCATTTGTGCGACTAGGTATGAAAATGAAGTTCTTTGTTTATCAAGAAATTTAGATAGATGAGCCGATAGACAATGAAAGTGGACGTATAATTCATTAGAGAATGATCTAAAATAAATAATATATTGTATATCATATAGTTGTTTCTATTTCTAGGTCATGAAATGAACGGAAATTGGTATTCGTGGTCAAAAGGTTCCGTTCCAAACGATTATGTTTTGGCATGGCGTCATACCTACAATATCATTTCAAACAAAGGTATAAATACAACACGACTTCAATGGGTTTGGAGTGTAGGTAGTGAAGACTATGGCGAATATACAGTAGAAGACTATTGGGTTGGAGAAAACTACACAAATTGGATAGGAATTAATGTATTTAATGGAGGTTCAAGCGCGAGTTGGAGTAAATGGCGATGGCCTCATGAAATTCTCGATAATATGATGGCTCGGTTAAACAAATTATCCTCAACAAAACCAATCTCTGTGAACGCATACGCAACAGTTGGTGTGCGAACAGGAAATACTACAGATGTGCAGGCAAAAAATGAATGGTTGCGTCAAATGTGTGATTACATAAACAATAATAACATTAAGATGGCATCGTATTACAATGTTGATCAACCAAATCAAGATAATATGGTGTTTGGTGGTACCCATGGTGATGTTATTTGGAACGGTTGTAAGGGATATTCATCCTACAGAAATTGTTTACAGTCCAATGATTGGATTGAACCAGATGTGACAAATCCGAGGCTTGTTACTGATAAGCAATTTGCTGGTATATTATCGAATGCAAAAGATATTTGGAAAAATCGAGGTATTCTAAAAATATTCACGATTCTGACATTGTTTTTTCAGAATATGATCATTTAATAAAAGATAATACAGAATTACTATGCTGAGTAGTAACCTTGTTAGTGTGTGATGGTTTTCGTAATAGAAAGTCAATGTTCACTCGTGTATTCCCACACCGGCCACTATTTCTCTTACAAAGCACGGAGACATACAATATTTATTCGTTTGTAAATGTAGAGGTACAGAAAATATTTTGTCAATGCAAATTCATAAATTACCATGAGATTATAGGCAAAATCAATCCACGATGTCGTTTTGATCGTGTATTCAATGATGGGATAATTGCTAGCAGTATGTAATTTATTTCAGAGTGCGCAAGGAACATGGGCTGTGTAGTCTGTACGACGATGAAGACCTGTTTAGTTTGTTACTCCTATGAGATGTTGCCGGCTCCAAACACGCATAGTAGAATTGGTACCGATAGCCAATTAATAATGAGTCGACTCAACAAATAAATCGCTATCAATATTGCTGAACATTGAGCACATCTGTTACTGGTAGGATAACTGGAAATGGGCTCATATACAGCAAAGATACGATTCAAACCAGACTAGCAGTCCACATGCTAAAATGTTGACCAGCTTGCATAAAATCTGCGTGTCATTGACGTACTACATTTACAAATAAAACAATCACATAAATAGAAAATCGTTGAAACAGCAGCAAGAAAGTCGTATGTACAAGAAGATGATCAAAGTACTTGACGGCTAAGAACAGTACGCATTTATTCTATTTTGTCATCAAAATAATCCATCCACCCTCGTAATCACCATTTATTATCTAAGGTAATCAATTCTGTACAGTAGGTACATTTTGTCGTAGATCGCCTTTAGCATCAATGAACAATATTTGAAAAAGAATAAATAACAAATATCGATCAATACTTTTCGACTGATTATCTAATATATGAACAGTTTGTCTATCCAGTCGTAATTTTTTCATGTTCATTGTTAGCTGTTGATAAAATTCAGTTAATGTATCGGGTTGTCGAATACCTAAGATTTGAAGGCTAACAGCTAAATCCGAAAAGAAATTGTAATCGTTGACATAACCACCACAACGTGTTACAATTGTTCCAAGTTCCGAGAGAATGTCATGGCGATATTGAACCGGTGCGTATGATGTAATATTTAACTTTTTCATTGGTAACGTTCCATCATTTGTGTGCGAATAGCGAATAAGAGAACAATTTATCCACCAGCTTTTGTTCAGCAACATTTTACGACAACAGCTCATTCTTTTTCATTTAGAAAAGATTAAACGTATTGGATTTGATTTTGTTCAAAAAATGCTGTCCAAGATCACTGCGACATGATAACCACATTATTCGATATGATTTCATTGTTTCAAGTTGATAACTGATGCAATATCATCGCAGATCAATAGATGTCACCGTTATATTGAAACAAGAATAAGTGTCAAACTGGAATATTTTTATATTCCAATATTCATCACATACTATCGCGTACAAAATTAACAGTTTCTCCACGAATATCAAACCAACGTTGCGCTTTCCAGTACAAACCTAGACCGTGCCAAACAACCAACTTTAATCCAATTGTTAATCCACCATAGAGACCACGAAAAGTTGTTAATATTTACATAGTGCTCATTTGATTCACGTATGTGTATCGACATGTCGATGGAGCACATTGTGAAAAATAATTTGAGTAGTTATTCGTATCGGACCGTGATCCTATGAACAACTCGACAATCAATGCCCCAATGGAAACTGATGAGATCGGTGTAAAACGAGTGCTGATTGACGATGGTCATACGCAGGCAAACAACCACATGCTCTATCTCCAAACTTGTCTGTTTTCTTTCCATTGAGAAGCAGACGTAGATCGTGAACCTGTAGATGAAACGTCGTATCAACACGACTATTCATCCTCGCATGTATCTATCTTTTTCAGTACGCTTCGGAACATTCCAATCGGTGAAGAATGCATTGTGTAACTGATTAACATGCAACACATCAATGTTGTATTTATGTAGTTGTCAAAAGCGAACTGGCGTTTCCAGCGTAACCAAATTTTGAGCGACGAATGTTTCCAATTATTATTCAATAATACTTCTGGTAAGAGAGCACAGTGTCGAAAGAAGACGAAATTGCGTACTGAGGATTTTTGAGTCGAGGAACAAGCGAGGTTTACTTGATGCATCTGCACCTCAGATTGTGTTGATAAAGTTAGAAGAAGTAGAATAACTAGAGCACACTCGACGATATGCAGCTTGTTGTATAGCGAAAAAATTCATTATTTGAATCGAACGTTTCGAATGAACTACTGCAACTAATGGCTTTTGTAGCACATCTGAAACACACAAAGATATTTTATATCGATCAATAATAAATTAACTTCTGATCTGGATGAATCCATTCTTACTTATTTATTTCTGTAGTGACTCTAGGTTCATTAGCCATACATGTGCGACCGAAACGATGTATTTTTCGGACTACTCTGATAATTGGAAAAATGAGGATCTGCAGAGCAACACTAAGAATATTCATTATACTAATGACACTCGCAGTCATATCGGCACGATTCAATCGTTTTTATCAGATAAAGAGGTAGTGAAAGATTGATCGATGAATTGACTTGTGCAGATAGGATGAAAATAAGGGTCAAAAGAAATAAAAGAACCTTGAAGAATGAATGTTTGTAAGCATAGACAACACGTGAGTATGCTTGAATATCGACGAGAAAGTTGCCTGGAGAGGCACCCTGTAGGTAAATCAATAAAAACAGATCAGTAGGAGAACGAAGTAAACTTTAGTTGCCAGTAGTTGGTCGATCAGAATGAGATCCTCATCTTCATCGAATAGATTAATCTTCTAGATATAATTATAGAATTTTCCGACTATGCTGTTTTGATAGTTACATGGTGTTTCCATGATTTTAAGAAATTGAGAGTATGATAATAAACAATAGATAACTATCCATCTGTCATCTCGGTATTCTTAATCGAATATATCTCAATGTATACAGAATTGAATAAGTATATATTTTACATTTTATGCTATTTTGCTTCGCTCACTCTCGTTTTACATAATTTATAAACTGCATGGACATCATTGATGCCGTTCAACTTCATAAACTTGTCAGATAGTAAAACAGGTTAATAGAAAAAGTTCATTGACAGTCTGTCACTGTTTGAAAACTGATTAGTCGGAGAAGACAAGATCACTCATATCTAAAACATCTGAATGAACCAACCATTGTACAGTTCATCTATAGATTAATTCGTTCGTTCAAATCAGCCAGTCACTATCTATCTCCTTGTTCTTTATATTATATAAATCGCTTCATCAGTGTTCGTGTCAGTTCATTTCAACAGCAATTTTATTCTACCATGAAGAGACCTTTTTTCATGCTTCTACTTCTCATCTCATCGATTGTAATGGTCAACGGTGGTCCGTGTACCGAAGGGCGTTATTACTGTGGCGCAACCTTGGTAGAGATGGGTTACCTTCCTGAACAAATAGCATAGGCGGGAGGACATAGTGACAGCAGAGTTACTGACAATATTATCTTCTATTGTATTGGTGGACCAGAAGGGAATATTATGAACGAAGCAACCTGTTCAGCTGGATGTGTTAGTCGTGGTTCAAATGATCAATGCGCTTAAAAAGTATGAAAAGCGGCAACACAACACAATATCGATATAGATATTGTAGAGTTAACTCTTGTTTGTGTTCGTGAATTTTTTTTTCTTGTGTATGCAAACTAGTTGTAGAAAGAAGCAAATAGAATTTGCAATGAATAAAATGATTCGTGTGATGGTACATATCTATCATGAGTGTGCGGCAACGAGTGATCTTAGTTGTTTGAAAACAGAATCAAAGCGAAAACTACATACTTTGATTTATCATCGAGCTGTCAAATCATCTAGTGTATCTCCAAAATTTTCTAAAACGAACGCAATCAAATAGCTTGAAATAGTTTCTTTCCCACGTAGCTGATTCTAATAGAAAATAAAACAATTCATTCTGTATTATCCGAAAGTTTTTCACAAAAAAACACTTGTGACGATACTATGATACCACTGATTACATTACATTACACATATGGCTTGTACTCTATACAGACGGATATTATATTCATGAAAACAAGCTATTATTGAAGCGACATCTATTCGATATCTCTTATGAACAATTCTTTTCTTAAAAGAATAGAACATTCTTCTTTAAAAAAAGTCATTCAGACTGTTAGATTTGAAAAACGCAGTCCGTCAGAACTGTTTTCTTTATCTCCGATCAATATCAATGTCTTGTTTTGGAAATATAATTATCATTCATGTCCTTATTGGCTCTAACTCATTGATGCCAGATATCCAAATGAGTAAACAGTCATTGCGTTCTTCCGCTAGCTCCAATTCATGTACTAATTAGCCATGGTAAACAATACCACTCAAGATATTCAAGGTAGAATAGCGAGGAAAGGTACACTTGTTTGAAAATGAACTTTCTTAAACAGATTCGAATGAGGAACTGAAGGAAATCATCAATTATTGCGATCGATTTCGTGAGAAACTTGTTGAAGAAAAAGAAGATTCACAAGATCATTCATTAATCGAACAAATCGATGCATGGGAAGACGATTCAATCAAGAAGATTCAACAAACAGCAGAACGATGTCGAGAACTCGTGGTTGAATATCGAGAAGTCTATTTTCAAAACATTGAACAAAGATTCAGCCGATTATCCGAACGAATCGTACAAACTCAGAAGGAAAACAAACTTGATGAAACAAATTTGAATGAATTCAAAAGAACATTGATGGCTCTCGGTAAAAGGTTGACTAATCCAATCATCATTTCGATTCAGAAACACGCGCAATTATTTATTCATCCGATTTCGATTATTTCGTCAAAAAGTAAGCACGGCCAGCACTATAGTACAAAACGTGTTTTTTAAATAAGGATCAGATCTATTCAGAATGATTGTAATGAGAACATTTTTTTTTGTTTCTTTTTAAGCTTCAACAGATATTTCGTTTATTATTAAAGGTATATTCCATCTATGTTTTTCATAGACAAATTCATCCTTCACTACTTATACCTTCATTAGCATCGATTCCTCTCACTCTCATTCGTAAAAATAAACTTTCTTGTTCCTATGTGTAATTGTCATTTAGATCGGCCATTAACAATTCAAAAACCATTAGTTCAGCAAGACGGTAATTCTCTGCTGTTTGGATTTTCCATTATGATTCGGCTGTTTAGAATCAATTTTCCAAGAATATGGAAATATTCTTACCGGTGACAATGGAAAAGGAGAAGACTTAAATCAGCTCTGTCATCCCGGTGGTATCTTCGTTGATCAGAGTAAAACAATTTTTATTGCTGATTGGGGAAATAATCGTATTGTTGAGTGGAAATACGATGCAAAACAAGGACACGTCATTGCAGGCGGAAATGGACAAGGCAATCAAATGAATCAATTATATCGACCGACGAATGTAATTGTCGATCAACAAAGTCAGTCACTTATCATTGCTGATTCAATGAATAAACGCGTTATTCGATGGTTTAACGATCAAACACAAGAAATTCTCATCGAGAACATCTACTGTTGGGGTTTAGCAATGGATAAAAATCGGTTTCTCTATGTTACCGATACAGAGAAAAATGAAGTTAGAAAATGGAAACTAGAAAAGATTATAGAAAACAAAGAAGGAACATTAGTTGCGGNTGAAAGTGGACGTATAATTCATTAGAGAATGATCTAAAATAAATAATATATTGTATATCATATGGTTGTTTCTATTTCTAGGTCATGAAATGAACGGAAATTGGTATTCGTGGTCAAAAGGTTCCGTTCCAAACGATTATGTTTTGGCATGGCGTCATACCTACAATATCATCTCAAACAAAGGTATAAATGCAACACGACTTCAATGGGTTTGGAGTGTATCTAGTGAAGACTATGGCGAGCATAGAGTAGAAGACTATTGGGTTGGAGAAAACTACACAAATTGGATAGGAATTAATGTATTTAATGGAGGTTCAAGCGCGAGTTGGAGTAAATGGCGATGGCCTCATGAAATTCTCGATGGTATGATGGCTCGGTTAAACAAGTTATCCTCAACAAAACCAATCTCTGTGAACGCATACGCAACAGTTGGTGTGCGAACAGGAAATACTACAGATGTACAGGCAAAAAATGAATGGTTGCGTCAAATGTGTGATTACATAAACAATAATAACATTAAGATGGCATCGTATTACAATGTTGACCAACCAAATCAAGATAATATGGTGTTTGGTGGTACCCATGGTGATGTTATTTGGAACGGTTGTAAAGGATATTCATCATACAGAAATTGTTTACAGTCCAATGATTGGATTGAACCAGATGTAACAAATCCGAGACTTGTTACTGATAAGCAATTTGCTGGTATATTATCGAATGCAAAAGATATTTGGAAAAGTCGAAGTATTCTAAAAATATTCACGATTCTGACATTGTTTTTTCAGAATATGATCATTTAATAAAAGTTAATACAGAATTACTATGTTGAGTAGTAACCTTGTTAGAGTGTGAGGGTGTTCGTAACAGAAAATCAATGTTCATTTGTGTATTCCCACACTGGCCACTATTTCTCTTACAAAGCATGGAGAGATACAATATTTATTCGTTTGTAAATGTAGAGGTACAGAAAATATTTTGTCAATGCAAATTCATAAATTAACATGAGATTATAGGCAAAATCAGTCCACGATGTCGTTTGATCGTGTATTTAATGACGGTATCATTGCTAGCAGGATGTAATTTATTTCAGAGTGCGCAAGGAGCATGAGCTGTGTAGTCTGTACGACGATGAAGACCTGTTTAGTTCGTTACCCCTATGAGATATTGCTGGCCTTAAACACGCTTAGCGGAATTGGTACTGATAGCCAATTAATAATGAGTCGACTCAACAAATGATTCGCTATCAATGTTGCTGAATATTGAACACATCTGTTACTGGTAGGATAACTAGAAATGGACTCATACAGCAAAGATACGATTCAAACGAAACTAGCAGTCGATAGGCTAAAAAGTTGACCAGCTTGCGTAAAATCTGCGTGTCACTGAGGTACTACATTTACAAATAAAACAATCACATAAATAGAAAATCATTGAAACAGCAGCAAGAAAGTCATATGTACAAGAAGATGATCAAAGCACTTGACGGCTAAGAACAGTAGCATTTAATCTATTTTGTCATCAAAATAATTCATCCACCCTCGTAATCACCATTTATTATCTAAGGTAATCAATTCTGTACAGTAGGTACATTTTGTCGTAGATCGTCTTTAGCATCAATAAACAATATTTGAAAAAGAATAAATAACAAATATTGATCAGTACTTTTCGACTGATTATCTAATATATGAATAGTTTGTGTATCCAGTCGTAAGGTTTTCATGTTTAGTGTTAGCTGTTGATAAAATTCAGTTAATGAATCGGGTTGTCGAAGACCTAAGATTTGAAGGCTAACAGCTAAATCCGAAAAAAAATTGTAATCGTTGACATAACCACCACAACGTGTCACAATTGCTCCAAGTTCCGAGAGAATTTCATGACGATATTGAACCGGTGCGTATGATGTAATATTTAACTTTTTCATTGGTAACGTTCCATCATTTGTGTGTGCATAGCGAATAGAAGAAGAATTTATCCACCAGCTTTTGTTCAGCAATATTTTACGACAACAGCTCATTCTTTTTCATTTAGAAAAGATTAAACGCATTGGATTTGGTTTTGTTCAAAAAATGCTGTCGAAGATCACTGCGACATGATAACCGCATTATTCGATATGATTTCATTGTTGCAAGATTGATAACTGATGCAATGTCATTGCAGATCAATAGATGTCACCGTTATATTGAATCAGTTTCATCAAAAGATTTATTGAAACAAGAATAAGTGTCAAACTGGAATATTTTTATGTTCCAATATTCATCACATACTATCTCCAGTATAAACTTAGACCGTGTCAAACAACTAACTTTAGTCCAATTGTTAATCCACCATAGAGACCAAGAAAAGTTGTTGATATATACATAGTGCTCATTTGATTCACGTATGTGTATCAACATGTCGATGGAGCACACTGTGAGAAATAATTTGAGTAGTTATTCGTATCGGACCATGATCCTATGAACAACTCGACAATCAATGCCCCAATGGAAACTGATGAGATCGGTGTAAAACGAGTGCTGATTGACGATGGTCATACGCAGGCAAACAACCACATACTTTACCTCCAAAATTGTCTGTTTTCTTTCCATTGAGAAGCAGACGTAGATCGTGAACCTGTAGATGAAACATCGTATCAACACGACTATTCATCCTCATGTATCCATCTTTGTCGGTACGCTTCGGAACATTCCAATCGGTGAAGGATGCACTGTGTAACTGGCTTACATGCAACATATCAATGTTGTATTTATGTAGTTGTCAAAAGCGAACTGACGTTTCCAGCGTAATCAACTTTTGTCCAATAATACTTCTGGCAAGAGAACACAGTGGCGAAACAAGACGAAATTGTGTACTGAGGATTTTTGAGTCGAGGAACAAGCGATGTTTACTTGATGCATCTGAACCTCAAACTATTGATAAAATCAGAAGAAATAAAATAACTAGAGCATACTCGATGATATGCAGCTTGTTGTATAGAGAAAAAATTCATTATTTGAATCGAACGTTTCCAATGAACTGCTGCAACTAATGGCTTCTGAAGCACATCTTAAACACTCAAAGATATTTTATATTGATCAATAATAAATTAACTTCTGATCTGGATGAATCCATTGTTACTTATTTATTTCTGTAGTGACTCTAGGTTCATTAGCCATACATATGCGACCGAAACGATGTATCTTTCGGACTACTCTGATAACTGGAAAAATGAGGATCTTCAGAACAACACCAAAATCATTTATTATACGAGTGACACTCACAGTCATATAGGCACGATTCAATCGTTTTTTTATCAGATAAAGAGATAGTGAAAGATTGATTGATGAATTGACTTGAGCAGACAGGATGAAAATAAGTGTCAAAAGAAATAGAAGAACCTTGAAGAATGAATGTTTGGGAGCATAAACGCGTGAGTATACTTGAATATCGACGAGAAAGTTGGCTGGAAAGACACCCTGTAGCTAAATCAATAAAAACAGAGTAGTAGGAGAACGAGGTAGACTTTATACTTGCAAGTAGTTGGTTGATCAGAATAAGATCCTCATCTTCATCGAATAGATTAATCTTCTTGATATAATTAGAGAATTTTCTGACTATGCTGTTTTGATAGTAACATGGTGTTTCCATGATTTTAAGAAATTGAGAGTATGATAATAAACAATATGCAACTATCCATCTGTCATCTCAGTTTTCTTAATCGAATATATCTCAATACATTATGCTATTTTGCTTCGCTAACTCTCGTTTTGCATAATTTATAAACCGCGTGAACATCACTGATGACGTTTAACTTCATAAACTTGTCAGATAGTAAGACAGGTTAATAGAAAAAGTCCATTGACAATCTATCACTGTTTGAAAACTGATTAGTCGGAGAAGATAAGATCACGTTACAAATGTGCAAAGCTGAACTGTTATAGTTGAACTCAACTGTCTGTTCTAAGTCAATTCAAAAAGTAAACCATTTTCTCTTTCATTCATATCTCCAAAATGATCAAGACGATGCCATTTCTATCATCCACACTCAGACGATAACAATATCACATTGTGCATTTGTGTCTGAAAACATCTGAATGAACCAACCATTGTACAGTTCATCTGTAAATTAATTCGTTCGTTCAGATGAGCCAGTCACTATGTATCCCCTTGTTCTTTGTATTATATAAATCGCTTCATCAATGTTCGTGTCAGTTCATTTCAACAGCAATTTTATTCAACCATGAAGAGAACTTTTTTCATGATTCTACTTCTCATCTCATTGATTGTAATGGTCAACGGTGGTCCGTGTACCCAAGGACTTTATTACTGTGGCGCAACCTTGGTAGAGATGGGTTATCTTCCTGAACAAATAGCACAGGCGGGAGGGCATAGTGACAGCAGAGTTACTGACAATATTCTCTTCTATTGTATTGGTGGACCAGAAGGGAATATTATGAACGAAGCAACCTGTTCAGATGGATGTGTTAGTGGTGGTTCAAATGATCAATGCGCTTAAAATGTATGAAAAACGGCAACACAACACAATATCGATATAAACATTGTAGAATTAAATCTTGCTGGTGTTAGTGAATTGTTTTTTTTTCTCATCTATATAAACTAGTTGTAGAAAGTCGCAATAGAATCTGCAATGAATAAAATGATTCGCGTAATGGTACATATCTATCATGAGTGTGCGGCAACGAGTGAACTTAGTGGTTTGAAAACCGAATCAAAGCGAAAGCTACATGCTTTGACTTAGCATCGAGCTGTCGAATCATCTATTAAATCTACGAAACTTTCTAAAACGAACGCAATAAAACAACTTGAAATAGTTTCTTTCCCACGTAGCTGATTCTAATAGAAAATAAAATAATTTATTCATGTTGTCTGTGTATTATCCGGAAGTTTTTCAAAGAAAACACTTGTGACGATGCTATGATACCACTGATTACATTACATTACACATATCACTTGTACTCTATACAGACGGATATTATATTCATGAAAACAAGTTATTATTGAAGCGACATCTATTCGATATCTCTTATGGACAATCCTTTTCTTAAAAAGAAAAGAACATTCTTCTTTTAAAAAAGTCATTCAGACTGTTAGATGTGAAAAACAAAGTCCAACAGAGCTAATTTCTTTATCTCCGATCAATATCAACGTCTTGTTTTGGAAATATAATTATCATTCATATCCTTATTGGTTCTGACTCATTGATGCCAGATATCCAAATGAGTAAACAGTCATTGCGTTCTTCCGCTAGCTCCAATTCATGTACTAATTAGCCATGGTAAACAATACAACTCAAGATATTCAAGGTAGAATAGTGAGGAAAGGTACACTTGTTTGCAAATGAACTTTCTTAAACAGATTCGAATGAAGAACTCAAGGAAATCATCAATTATTGCGATCGATTTCGTGAGAAACTTGTTGAAGAAAAAGAAGATTCACAAGATCATTCATTAATCGAACAAATCAATGCATGGGAAGACGATTCAATCAAGAAGATTCAACAAACAGCAGAACGATGTCGAGAACTCGTGGTTGAATATCGAGAAGTCTATTTTCAAAACATTGAACAAAGATTCAGCCGATTATCCGAACGAATCGTACAAACTCAGAAGGAAAACAAACTTGATGAAACAAATTTGAATGAATTCAAAAGAACATTGATGGCTCTCGGTAAAAGGTTGACTAATCCAATCATCATTTCGATTCAGAAACACGCGCAATTATTTATTCATCCGATTTCGATTATTTCGTCAAAAAGTAAGCACGGCCAGCACTAGTACAAAACATCTTTTTAAATAAGGATTAGATCTATTCAGAAAGATTGTAATGAGAACATTCTTTTTTGTTTCTTTTTAAGCTTCAACAGATATTTCGTTCATTATGAAAGGTATATTTCATCAATGTTTTTCATAGTCAGATTCATCCTTCACTACTCATACCTTTATTAGCATCGATTTCTCTCACTCTCATTCGTAAAAATAAACTTTCTTGTTCCTATGTGTAATTGTCATTTAGATCGGCCATTAACAAATCAAAAACCATTAGTTCAGCAAGACGGTAATTCTCTGCTGTTTGGATTTTCCATTATGATTCGGCTGTTTAGAATCAACTTTCGAAGAATATGGAAATATTCTTACCGGTGAAAATGGAAAAGGAGAAGAACTGAATCAGCTCTGTCATCCCGGTGGTATCTTTGTTGATAAGAATAAAACTATTTTTATTGCTGATTGGGGAAACAATCGTATTGTTGAGTGGAAATACGATGCAAAACAAGGACACGTCATTGCAGGCGGAAATGGGCAAGGCAATCAAATGAATCAATTATATCGACCGACGAATGTCATTGTCGATCAACAAAGTCAGTCACTTATTATTGCTGATTCAATGAATAAACGCGTCATTCGATGGTTTAACGGTCAAACACAAGAAATTCTCATTGAGAATATCTGTTGTTGGGGTTTAGCAATGGATAAAAATCGGTTTCTCTATGTTACCGATACAGAGAAAAATGAAGTTAGAAAATGGAAACTAGAAAAGATTATAGAAAACAAAGAAGGAACATTAGTTGCGGGTGGCAATGGAAAAGGAAATCAACTTAATCAATTTAATCATCCTACTTTTATTTTTGTCGATGATCATCGATCTGTTTATGTATCAGATTCGAAAAATCATCGTGTGATGAAATGGACAAGAGATGCAGGTGAAGGAATCATTGTAGCCGGTGGAAATGATGAAGGAAGCGACCTGAATCAATTGTTACATCCTCGAGGATTACTTGTTGATCAATGGGGGAAAATCTATGTCGCAGATTGGGGCAATCATCGAATAGTGCGATGGGATAAGGATGCTGCAAAAGGTGAAATAATTGTCGGTGGTAATTGGAAAGGACATGGTTTAAATCAAATGAATAGTCCTTGTGGTTTAGCGTTTGATTTCGAAGGCAATCTTTATGTTGCCGAATGGAGAAATCATCGAATCGTTCGATTTGACAAGTCCGTTGATAAACCTTTTAATGGAAAACGAAAAAAATATTAGCAATTTTTAGTTTTATAAAGAATATTTTTTGAATAAAATTAAATTAAGAAGAACGAAAGTTGATCAGAATGTCGTTATCAGCGAGAACGGTGCTTATTTTGTATTGTATCATACTGATCTGATGTTCATCGAAGTAGATGGACCGCTTTCACCATTCCATTAAGTCCCAATATAGTTATGTATGAATGAGTCTCAGTCGAATTTCAATAGAACCAAACCAGGAATGATATACTTGAACAATTGTAAACAGTGACCAAGGCTACCAGAGAACTTCTTCTTCGCCTGGATATGCTGAGATTGATGATAAGTCTTTACAATAGTAATGCTTCTTCCATTCATGTGTTGCATGATCGTTTGTATCGGTCGAAATGGTACATTGTTCAGTTAAGCTCAATAATGAAGATTACGTTACCAGGAAAACTATTTGTCACGGCTTTTTGTTTTGTCGTTGATGTAGAAGCAGGAAACGAAATATTTTGTCCAACAGTGTATTTGAGTAGTTCATCTTTAGGTATTTCGACTTTTCGATAAAGATAATTAGGCAATTCGTCGGGACAATAACTTACACAACTGACAATCGTCTCTACACCCACTATCATCTCCCAGCAGTCGCCACGATGCTCTTCGCGAAGAACATTTGAACTTTGACTCGTCAACATTTGGTTCATCTTTTTGTAGAAGATGGTTTCTTTCGTGTACATTTGTCGTAACAATGCAGTACGATTTCTGTGTGGCTGCAGTATGTAGTGCAGTGCTTACTTGCAAGACAGTCATAGGTTTGTTGGAAAAAAAACTACTGTTTATTCTGATTCGTAAAGCAAACGAACGGCTTTTGTAATCTTCCTTATCTCTCTTTTATTCCAATTACAACATCTGTCGGAAGACAGTTGAGGATCAGACAAACGTTTTCTTTTCAACTTTTTATTAAATGAAATAGAATATTGACTACAGTTTTACTACTGACAAATATAGCGATACCATTTGATGAATAAATTTTTCAGTTCTGTGCGATATGTTTTCGATATTAATATGTACACCCAAAATGAGTAGGTATTTGCCAGATAGAGTAGAAATAAACGACTGAGAAAATAAAAGAACGTTTCGATTTGTTGACGATCTTTTGTTCTGACCTCGTTTGTTGTTGCCGATTTATAAATATGCGTGATTGTATTTGGCGATAGAGTAATCGTACAGATAATGAGTTCGATGAGTAACATTTTCATCATATCGCGATCACGTTTTCGAAAATTCACTGTTCCCGGTTCTGAAGCCGTGTTAGGTAGAACTCGACGGCGCATTTTCCTCAAGGAGTTAAACATCAGTATTCCGAATACGATCATACCTATCAATGGAAGAATACCAGTGGTCGATATGATGTAAACAGTATAGATGATATCATAAACGCCAGGTTTCGAATCGCACACACCGTTCGATAGTGTTCTCAACAGTGTTGGAAATATTGGTACTAAAAACCAGAAGATCCAAACCGCGGGAATGATACGGATTGCCACTTTGTATTGACTAAATGCGCGAATTTTCGGTCGATCGCTACAGCATGCATATCGATCAGCGCAAACTAGAACGAAGAATGTGCGTAGCATTTGATTCAACGAATGCCGAAAATAGAAAAATATTCCACATGATACTTGATTGTAAAGAAATGGACTTGGATGATCGAGTCCCCAAATGATAGGTACAGCAGAAATATTCAAACCCCAAATACCACTAAAGGACATGGCCAATATATACAGTGCACAAGGTGTTCGCCGGTAATTCGACTGACTGAACATCATTATATTGAAAAATGATCCAATACTACCGAGTATAACATACGTTGTCATTCCATATCGTGTAAAATATTGCTGTACAAGAGGTAAAGATGCAGCAAATGACATGTTCTGTGATATGTAATCTGAAAGAAATCAAGTCTTTTGCAGAAGCGCGAACACCAACGAAAAGTCTCGACTTTCTTTTGATGATGTCTTTTTTTCACTTTAGTGTCAATACTATATGACTGGAACTTCATAAATACAGAGCTTCTTGTATGATATCTCGTGCTTTTTTTATCCTCTTAATCTTTCTATTATTAACAATCTACAGACTATTGGCCATAAGGAAAAACCAAACTAATAAAAGCTGCGTTGACAGTGAATTTACCAATACCGAAAAAAAGTTCTTTAAAGATCTGACGCTATCTTCAGAGAATCGTGATAAATATTACAACCCGATAAAAGACATACAACCTCGGGGTTTCTGGCAATAAGAAAATTATAAAATACTTTACTACTATTTTAAGCAGAATACTGCTGGGTGACAAGTTTTGGAGACTTCATTGAAATTAAATTCTATTTTCCTATAATAGCTCTACCAACGGTAACGATCGACGCCTTCATCAAAAATAATCTGTTAAAGTAATTATCTAAAGGACATAATCAGTAGAGGGATTTCAGCTCGATTGCTTCTCTAAAGAGAAAACAAAAGAACGATATCGATCGAGAGTACACCTTCGAATTCATTACAGAGATATCTTCTTTGACTGTTTTTTAATTTGTCAGCACACGATTCACGACTTACCCGTGTAGCTCTAGTACTGCAAAATAAGATAACTGTGTATATAATGCACTTCCGCTAGGAGAATAATGTGTTTTTTTCTTCTCTCACGATATCGTATATAAAATATTCTACGAACTGCGATTTTGACAATGTCAATAGGCATGTCCATTACACATTTTACAGATAAATTCATCAATTTCGACTACGAAATTGCCATGAGGACGAGTCTAAATAGTACTCTTATATAACTTTTTCAAGGCATTTTCAGAAACGATATTCGTATTACAAGAAATGACATACGTATTTACTTCAAACCTCAACCTATGCTACACCTACTACTGAGATACTCTTTAATCATTCTCATCATTAAAGTTTCTCCCGTCTGTGATGAATAGATGGAGGATTAATGTGGACGCTATAAATTGTTCGGTAGAATAAATATATATAATGAGATTAGCGTGTAATATTGTCATGAATTATGACATAAACGATAACTAAATGTAAAAAATGAACATTTCTGTATTCTACTTCTCGAATATGTGATGATAGTTCATGGACAAACTATTTCAACTCTGCACTTGTTTCTTACTAAAGTTAACGGTGGTGAAAAGGACGGGAATGATGAAGTTTAGAAAACTTCTCTTTTCTCACGAGTACAGACGAGTGATTCTTGTATACATGTGTATTAGAGAAATCCGATTATAATACACGAACAACAAAGTCATATAAATACCTGTCATTTATTTATGTACCGATAAAGGTTAGTTACGTGGGTTTATGTGGGAGATTTTGCTGGTAAGACTATAAAGAGAAAATGAACTGAGAAAGTTACCTTGTTGCCAAGCAATTGTCAGATTTTGGATTGTTACATCGACAGTAAATGTAATCAAGATATAGATTATTGTAGATGGTGAAAGGAAGAGAAGATATACTGCGATTTGAATCTTGAGGGTGTGGATGATGTTGCATAGACGATAAATGTAGTTAATTTGTATTTGATTAGTGTACAACTGAGATAAAAGTCACAGCTATACTACAGGGTGCCATTTATGGGCGAGACAGCAGCAGTGAAATAATAATTGCATGATGAGGAATGAAGAGCTCGACAAGAAAGCACAGTATAACGTTGAGTATGCTTGTAATGATTCTAATTGTCGTTGTGATAGAAAAACTGTAAACAATAGGACTCCTGATAGCTTCGAGAAAACTAAAACTCAAAGGTAGTGCTGTGTTATTCATTGACAGCATTATGGTTGTACTTTGATTTCAAACAGATTGATTTTGCAGGCACGTCGAGTCTGATGGGAAGTCTATGTGAAAAAAAAATGAATGAGATATGCATTTGTGAGCCTGCAATTTATAGTAATGAAAAAAAGGTTAGGAAAAAAAAGCGCAATAAGTTGACCCAGAACGCATCTGGCGAATAAATCACGAGTTTCTATATAAAGAAACTATTCAGCATTACCATTATTTTCTGTGTTCATAATAGATGCATCAAAGTAGACGAATCTGTCAACAACTTGAGTAATTTAATGTCGAATTATTTCATATTGGGTCTAAATGAAACATGTATACGTATATGCCTACATATGCTTAAAGCCGATGATTCCAGCTTGTGTGATACAACAAGAAATCGAAACGATCAAACACAAATACGAATAATTTCATTGTTCAGTCCACCTAACTAGATGTATTGTTTCATACAAACTTCAATTCGAATTATGTTTGTCTATCTTTATTCATTGCAGTATCAAGATAGACTAATAATCATATAAGTAGAGGTTACGGGCCATCCATATAGACATATGGTGGTCGGAGCTGTTGGTTGGAACCGAAAACATTTTTCCATCTATATAGCGTGGATAGACTATGGTGTTTTTAGTTTTCCGCTTGGGTAAACCAACAATATGGTTCAGCTTCACTAGAAGTACATTCTGATTATATTTTGAGATATCTCCTATTCTTTATGAAAAGAAAAGGTCAGGATTATCCTCACTACTATGTCAAAACATCCTAAAAAATGACACTCTTTTGTGATGTGAGAATATTTTACTAGATGAATATAAAACATACAAATTCGTGTTGTATTCTAGTTTAAGACCGTTACTAACTTGGTCATTCGAAATTCATATTGTATGTGCAGAAATTATGGATGTCTAGGGAGCCGTAAGTGCTTAAAAAACTGGAAATTTTGTCGACAATATTTAGATGTTTTCACAACGATCTTCATAAATTCTTATTTTCATCTTACTTTCACTTTGACTATCTTCGTTCCAAAAAAAGTGGTTTCCGCAGATAAGGGACGATACTTTCGCTATGTAGCGATTATTATAATGTTCCCTGGAAGAGGCAGTCAGTCGTAGAGGATTAATCTAGTTTTGCGTAGATTTCGTGTGTTTCTTTAAGAATTAAAAGAATATATTTCTGCCATGAATCAAGAATTCATGCAGCACAAATTCGAAGAAATAACATAGTGGATTGCATTGTGATGGATGTATCACGGAAGAGAAGAAATCAAGAAGAACAACAAGATTTAAAATACATCACTGTACGTTCGCAGCTGCTCATTTCTGACAACGTATCCAAAGTGTTGTGTCCCAGTTATAAGTTATAATTGGACAAAACGAACGCTTGTGAGATGCTATATTATAAAAATATTTATTACAGTCTGATGATTATTTTCACATAGTATTATCTTTGTTAACTATCGCACCTGATGTCATAGAATTGTATTTATATCTTTTTCAGTTAATTCCATCAGCTATATGTTCTGTTTTAGCTCTTCACCAATTTTAGTTTGTTTGAACAATCCGTACAACTCTCGCACTAATCATATTATTATTCTCATCCTTTTTATTGATTTCGTGTATGATTTATTATTGTTATTCTTAACGTCAATGGAATAGATCAGTATTACTTTGTGCATTCTGGAATTCTATTGGCTGGGAATTTAATTAGACTCATACAATATTATTTCCATATAGGCAACCCTATTCGTTCATTCTTTCCCTATAATGTTTCTTCTGCTCTATAATTAAACATTCAATACAATGACTTTCTCCTATGCATTCTGCGAACTTTCTTCTTGTGACTATCCATGCCCATTTAATAATGCTTTCTTCGATACCTATGATTTAATAGCCAATGAAATCATTGCTTTGTTAATCGTCTTCATTTTCGGTATTTTCTCAGTGGTGTGTTTGATGTGGCAAAAAATATCCCGTGTGACGAACTGTTTAATGAAGAAAATATCGAAGAATGGCAATACAACTATTAGTAGTCTCTTGTCTTTATACGCTATTTTATCTCCTATTGATGCTATCTAATCTATTTTACGCGTACAGTATTGAGAGCAATAGGATGTATTTATTCCAAAATTATGCAATTTATTTGAGTTATGCTCATATTATTGTAATCTTTTGTTTGTGTATCATATCACGATCAGAACTGAGAACGCTTCGTCTCCAATTCACAATATACATTTAAACATGAAATTTATATATATATGTCCACAATACATAATCATTTTTGAGACAAACATCTATATCCTTCAAAAGTTGAGTGCACATATTCATGTATCTGTAAAATAGTTACAAGCAACAAGCTGAGTAAACTTATATTTTTTGTTTAACGTCATTGTACAGTATTGTACGATGTTCAAATTGAAAAGTAAAGATTGAAGCATATGAACTATCTTTACCCAACTGAACACGATATGAAAATCTGATGGCTTTAGTGTTGCTGTGTCTAATATTGTTTCGTCTTCGCATAGACCAGCTCTGGCGAAACTGAAACGCATATGATTCTCGTCAATTTTTAACAGTTTCCCTTGATTGATGAAACAATAACATTCGCTTACATTGAAAACGTCATCCAGAAAGTATGTTTCAGTTCAGTTTTATGTCGACGATATTTAATCGAAATGAAAAAAGAAAGTTTTGCGAATGAAATATTAAAATTCAAATTGCTGTGGGAATGATTGTATCGATGGGTGAATTTCGTCAAGATTGTGGAAAGTGACAGTATTCGGCGCACTCCATTCTTCTGACGTCCCGGTAGAAAATGAACAAAAGAAAAAAAACGTTTGTAAGTTATTTTTTGATTATTGAAAGGTTAAAAGCGCATTTCGTGTTTGTCCTGTGTGCTTTTAATAACAGCACTATTTTATACGCTCTAGAGACCTTATTAATGAAAAAGTATTTTTGCAATTTTCATGAAGTGAATAATTGAATAGATAAGTAAGAAGACCCATGCAAGCGAATGTTTGATACTAGTAGATGCGTCATTTCTATCTTCTCTTGTAGCTAAAACAATTAGTCTTCTCAATACGATTTGTCAACAGCCGTTGTTATACATACTTGACGATGAACCTAAATTTACGATAGGTATTTTTATATCAAGTAATTTATCTGATTAACCTGTAGTTGAGGATGCAGCCGATGTTGATGTTTCAGCGTTCATACATGGCGCTAAAGTATGAGACAATAATTTTGCATAAAACTATCCAAATTACTCGAACATACCGCAGACAACAGAAAACTTCTGAATACGGTTGTTGTAAGTATCGACAACAATCAAAGCTCCAGTTGCATCCAATCCAACATAGTTAGGATAATTGAGTTGATTTGGCAATACGCCAACCGTTGAACTTCCAGTAGCAACAGTACCATAACTTGATCCTAGCATCCATCTCATAATCCGACTATTGAAAGAATCGGTAATGTAAATGTAACCATTCGAATCTCCAACAACTGATACTGGATAACACAGTTGATTGTATCCATTGCCACAGATACTCGTTTGTCCTGCAACGGTTATTCCACTAGTTGCACTTGGAAGCCATTTTTGAATGCGATGGTTATGTGTATCAGCGATATACAATGTATTAGAAGCACGTGCATCAACAAATACTCCGTATGGATAAAGCAATTGATTTGCACCCGATCCATAACCTCCACAAATAACACTACCCGTTATTGCAAAATCCCATCGTACAATGCGATGATTGCCAGTATCAGCTATCCAAATACTTGATGAATTGTACGATACAAACACTGCATAAGGATAACTTAACTGATTTACGTTACTTCCGCTTCCATACCCTCCGGCGACGACCGTTCCGTTAGTTGCACCAGGCGGCCATTTTGTGACACGATTATTACCATGGTCAACTATATAAATAGCACCATTGGAATCTATGCTGATACCATCCACTAAATTGAGTTCAACGTTCAAATCTTACTCTCTATACAAACCAACTTACTCCCAACAAATTGATGCACTCCTGCACCATAACTGCTACTAATTACCGTTGTACCGATTGCTGAATCAGAAAGAAAACGTTGCACACGGTAGTTATTCGAATCTAACACATATATAGTGCCGTTTTTATCTATAGCAATATCCGAAGGTCGATTAAGATACAACGATGAGCTTCCACCCCAACCTATAGGAGAACCAGCAACGGTTGTTCCATTTAGCGACCAAGGAGACATAGAGGAACTAATATTCGTTGGGGTCACTAAAACAAAACAAAGTATCAACAATGTCACGACTTGTAGCTTCTTTGTCCAAAAATTCAAGTGCCTACCAGATATTGCCGTCGGAGAAACTGTTGTTGAAATATTAATTGGTGGTGCTGTAAGAAAATAAATTCAACGGTAGTTTTCCTAAAAACATGAACGAGCAAAACTTACGACAAGAAACGACAAACTGTTGAACTCGATTGTTTCCCGAATCGGCAACAAATAAAGAACCAGTTGAATCGAAATTTATACTCAATGGTTTATTAAGTAAATTCAATGCTGTTCCATGATTTGAATCACCTGCAACAATCATTCCCGAACTTGCTTCAGCACTCCATCGTAGAACACGATTGTTTTCTGAATCAGTAATGAACATATTTTGATTATTATCCACTATGATTGATGTTGGATACCACAATTGATTGAAACTATTACCATAATAACTTGTTATTCCAGCTACAGTCGTACCACGAGTAGCTCCAGCTACCCATCTCTGAATGCGATGATTATACGTATCTGCCACATAAAGCGTATCTGAATCGCTTGTAACAACAAATAAACCATACGGGTAGTAGAATTGAGTGTCCTCGTCTCCAATACTACCACAAACAACGATGCTACTTATTGACGAGGTCCACTTCACTATACGATGATTACCAGTGTCGGCAATCCAGATGGCTGATGTGATCGTATCCAAGAACATCCCTCCGGCCTGAATGAGCTGATTAACATCACTACCAACGCCGTTTCCTCCTGCGACTACCACACCAGCTGAAGCTCCTTGTGTCCATTTTGTAACACGACCATTTCCACCATCGAGTATATAGATACTGCCATTGTTGTCGATTCTCATGTCATCCACTGAGAAACAGACAATATGAAGCGACAGCGAGTTATTGACGAAAGTGTATACTGAACTTACGAGTATTGAACTGATCAAGTGCAGTGCCAAAACTACTGTTGATAATTGTTGTTCCAATAGTTGAATTCAAAAGAAAACGCTGCACTCGATAGTTACCACTGTCGAGTACATACATATTCGATCTATTATCAACGTTTACGGCACATGGATTATTGAGGGCTGATGAACTAGAACCTGATATAGCCACAATGGACCCGGCAACTGTTTTGGCGTTTCTTTGCCATGTTGCTGTTGGACAGAGCGCTAGACTTCTACACTGTTCAACAACAATTCTAAATTTTAAATAGTACAATGAATGATATAATTCTTGTTCGATGTATTCAAGCTTACATAGTTGCGAAAGATATTAGCGACCATAAATGTTTGAAACAACACATCGTCATTGTGAGACAATCTTGCAAAAATGACCTAAACATACAAACAGAATTCTTTTTTTTTCAAAGTTTTCAAAATGTCGTCTGTATACTTACTGTTCAGATAAAATTGTGTTTGAATTAGTTGATATACTATCAGCTTGAGCAGGTGTCTTATTCGACGGAAGTAGTTACTAGTCGTACTTTTAAGAAAACCATCATGTTTCTAACAACACGGTTTCAGAATTAATAATTAGCTTCGAATAAGAATTACTTCCTTCTCCATTTAGAAACTCATTAAAAATGTTATTCATGACAAAAGAAAGAAAAGACATTTAGTATGAGTGAGTTACTATAGTAGAGTCTTCTTATACGATGCAAATCATATCATTTCTCAAAAAACACGAAACTATAGTCATCACAATTAAAGGAAACAGCGAACTGTGATTGAGCTGGTAGATACAGTTGATATCATATTTGCTGACAATTCTTCCGATAATACGATCATGAATTCTCTTCTTCATGTGACTATCTTCAAACATATGGAAAAAAATCAAAAAGAAACAAAACGGTATGATTTTCGTGCTTTATCCGATAGGCTAATGAATTTTACAGTGAAATAATTAATTAACTATCTTTAAATCGACGCTTTTCACATCCCGTCAGCGTAGTTTCTCTCGATAAAACAAAACTTTTTCTACAGTGTAAAAGCGTTTTCATGTTCTTGCCGATGGAGCAACAGTTCGCTGTTGTTTTGGTTTCCAGAATAGTAACTTCGCTAACTTTGACTTCAGCGGAGATAACGCAACCAGATTTGCGTATGGCATCACTATTGCTGGCATATAGGCAAATGCTCCAATATATACTGCAACAGTATAACCATCGAAAAGAAACACCTCAAGCCACGATGCAACAGTGACAATAACATAAGGAAGATTAAAAGCGAGATAAATGATCGAAACCGAAGCTAACTGGATAATCATTTTTCGTTGTCGACGCCAATTCATTGCCTGTTGTAAACGACGTTTCTGCAGGATGACACGGATTATTAGAGTCCAACTAAATACACCAATGAATACAATTGGTAATGCGTAATTCACAAGTGGCTCAAACCAGCCGAACCATTGAGGAATCACATGGCTATAACAAACTACGCCACAAAACAGGAAAAAACCATTATAAAAACGCTGACACGGATATAGAACGATCAAGTAAAAATAAAGAATTGGTGCATAACTGGAAATGAATCCAAGTGGAATGTAATGAAACAAAACACGTTGGCGCGCTGTACGAAGAAAATTAGAATAAAATATTAGAATGTGTCTTTCGATAGAGATCCAGAACATGATATGAAGAGCTCCGTACCATATTCCATAATCAACATAACCATGTAGAAAACAAAGTGAAACATTCAATGGATATTGATGACCAACTCGGTAGAAGTTCAACGTCATTGATAGACCAATCATCATTTGAAGAAAATTATAGATCAAGAGCAGAACTATAGAATGATTCTGCAGATTTCTCCACAAGAGTTTATCACGTAGAAGATGATAGAACAAAAAGAGATAACAAGGAATTGACAATAATTGACCAGTTAATAAAATTGCAAATAGATTGTTACTCCATTGCGAAGAAGAGACAGAATCATCCCCGAAATCTTTCATTATAAGATGTGCGAACGTAGTCTTGGTATAGTATTCGAATGTTTCGTAGAGAATAAAAATGATATATCTTAAGAACAGAGACAATCATCACAAAAGAATGAAAATAACCTATGCATGATTCATAATTTATAGCCTAATGCAACTTTTGTTTCATAGAGATAGGCACTCTAAACTTCTACTCACATATTTCTTTCCATTACATAGTAAATTGATCGAACACAAGCAATTTGAGGTACAAAGAAACATAGCAAGATTAATTACACCATTCGAGGAGAACAGCATGTTTGATGGCACGAACTAAATCAGACTATGCGTCTCAATCATATTTTCATCATAGTAACTTTTGATGAATTAGTTGGTCTTTTCTTTCTTGACACTTCCTCTTCCAACATGCATGTGTTTTGTCTATTCCCATTACACAGAGTGGCAATATCTGCCAGAGATCGATGAAATAAGAAAGAAAGGATGGCATCGAACGAAATTCACAGCTGAGTACATTTTGCCTTTCTTTCGTAGCAATTCATGTTGATAACGATAGTACTTTCACTGACCTTTACAGGTTGCTTGATTCTAGTGAGAAATTGTTGTGTAGAAGCGCAAGAGAATAAAAATTGAGTATGGAGTATATAATGTTAAAATGTAGAGAACAAGAAAAAGAGGAATATAATATCAATATCTACAAAGTCGCCGAAATAGAGAAAACATTTGTTACACAAACTAACGCACACACTTGTATGAACTTCATTCATGGCATAACAGGTCAATGCTTCATTTTTATTGTTAACAGTGGAAATTGTCTGTTGGATACTTGATAATCTAGGATCAGAATGCAACTGAGAACGAAGGTGCTCAGCGAAGTATTAAGAAACAACATTGTAATTATCATGGTAACCTCACGATTACTTTCATGTCGATCCTCCACTTTATCGATAGACATTCACTACATTGTTTCTTGGTACGAACAGAATATCAGATGCTATGGAGCACAAGTTCTTGGCAAAGCATTACAACGGAACACTGTAATTGTCAACCTATTGAATAGTTCAGTACATTCTTTTTCTTGGTTCATACAAATCCATCTGCTTGTCGCTGGCTAACCATCCCATCGGATCTGTCGGAGCACACTGTAAGTAAAATACTGTCAATTAATACTATAATTAGCATTGTACTATCATTCGTGGAATAAATTGATCATTTGACCTTATCTCCAAACGGTGACTCATTTCTATATTGGAGAAAACCAAATAGGAGATACTGTAGTAAAGCACGGCAAGTTAACATTGTAATAATACTATGTATACGTAGCATTTGACATGAACAGCGTACTGTGCTAGTAGTCGGTCAAATTGTGATGCTTTTCTCGCGGTTCACAGTGTAGGAGGGAATGGAGTGAGCTGACTTCTCCCATTTTTCCGGAATATCAGGGGAAATTCCATTACTATGCGTCTGCGAAATGTTTTCCTATTACGAAGTTTCTGAAATAGACAGGCACAAACTGCGAAAATTGCTGAAAAATATCTATTCAGGGGAAACCACAGGAACGCTCTGTCCAATATTTTTAGAAACAATTGAACACTTTGAGTTTTTCTCCAGCAAAAGGCAATATACCTGATAGTGTGGTCAATATATCTAGTACGTACTGCCCCGGAAATTGCTGCTAACATATTCACGAGACACCAGAAATAAAAGCTTGCATAGCTGTACTTACACGCAACATGGCGCAAAGTTTACTTTTGCACAGATACGAGTCAATAGTGTTCAACTGATCGTTGTACTCTTCGATATGGATTAGCCAGGTATAAATATAAAGTCATAACTTTCATAGAGCATGTCTTTATGAGGAATAGAATATAATATACAGAGAAGAAAAAGAGAGATGGTATTTTGAAGTGATAGGAATTGATAAAAGAAACCTCGTGCATTACATATATTCGTTCAAAAATTTCGTGATTTCTAGAAATATACTCATCTATAATAAAATCGTAATTATACAATATTTAATAAGACAATTCGAATTCGGAAAAGTAACTGCTCAAAGCTCAACAAATAGATCGCTTTTGGTCTTTATAAATCTAACTAGATTTTGTCCATGTTGAACATGATATGACATATACCGATGAAAAGTTGAACTTATGTTAATTTTGTTCATCAAACGATGTAAAAGGATAGTGTTTGTTTCTGCACACTAAAACTGAAACAAATATGCGACATTCGTTAGAAATACTGCATGTTACCATTTTAATCCTCGTTGAATAAACAAGGTTTTTAATTTCAACTGAGAAAGTTCTATGAGTGTCAGCAAAAAGCGCAGTACAGAAGAAACCGGAAAGTGCTTCTTTCGTTTTTTTGTCAAGATTTAGATCATGGTGTGAGTTTTCGAGCGTAGGAAATGAGAAAAAAACAGTCACCATCATTTCCACCTCAAACTCGCACTCACAAGTTTTTTGCTGCGTATGGATAGGAAACGAAAGATTTTTTTTCTTTATTACATCATTTGTAGTGTCTGCTACAATAAAATCCAATGTCGAGAAAACTGTACAATCTATTTGTACGTGATCAGATATTCTGCGAATGCTTGTGCATCATGGTAAGTGACAAAAATATGACTTCCATCAGTCGTTGTATCATAACCAGGTGGCGGAGTTATCATAGATGAATCACCTTCTGCCGATAACCCGATAAGAACACGGGCTATAAACATACATTTCTCTCCATTCTCATTGGGAACAGCAAAACCATTGCTATAAGATGCTTTTGATGAAAAGTAAACGCCTTTACCATATACCAAACCTATTAATACAATTCATATGCAGATAACTGAAATACAGAAATTATCCTCACCATTCACACCACCGTAACTGCGGTTGAAACATTTGTTGATGATAGAGTCTGCTGCCGATTCAGGACATCCATGATATAAACGCTGCTCTGTATCAGCCTTCAATCGTTTTCGAAACTCGTCTCTATGTACGATATACTGCTGGAACCAGTGCTCGTTCTGAATGCGCTCGATTTTGATTATTTTGTTGTAGTGTCCTTTCATTCCTTGGTCAAATAGAACTGTCACCGACTTGTATTCGTCTGTCGTAGAACATATTTGACAACGTTTCGTGCCTCCTTGGTTGGGTTCCCATGTTACTGGCAATAAATGATTGAGTGCTATCGACGACTCTAGAAAAATATATTTATAGCGGTTGAAAGGCTTTTCCATGGCGTGAGGATGAGTGTCAAAACTATAGCGACGGCTGCTTGTGTTTCGATAATGTCGTAGTTACCTTCATATGTTGTCAAAACTTCTCTGCAAAATGCGCCATAAGTTTCTATTTGTTCAGGTGAAATGACGAACTTTATCTGTAATTGTACGTTTTGCGCGAGAAGTTGTTTTTTCGCCTCGCTTACCATGGTTCTAATA